TTTCTCTGTGCAAGAAAAGATTTCTTGAGCTAGTCAAGAAGTCTCATCTTGGTTAATTCAATGTGCTTTTCTTTATTTAAGGAAAATGAGGAATACATAGACATATTCTTCTCCTAAACCAGATTTTAAGAACATTGTGAAAATATAACGACCCACCTCAACGCTAACACATTAACTATCCTCCTCCTCTCTCTCTATATAGATTTTTTTCCTCTCTTTCTAAACAAGCTGATTACATGATTGGTTTTCTTTTTTTTTTTGGAGGGAGTCTTTATTCCAATGTGTGTACTATGAATATGAGTAAGTTTCCCTCCGGAATATATTTGCCCCCACCATTTTTAGACAGATTCCTGTGCTTTACCACAATCCAATAAACAAGCCTCTATTTCTCTATCAGACCAATTTTTTTCGTCTATAATTACCACTCAAAATCGGAAGTGATGAAAAAAATCAGTAAGTCTTCTGTAACTTATCACGGTTGATATTAGTTATAGTAACATATTTCTTCTTTTTACCATTCAGGTTAGATTAATACTCTAAAATAAATGGTAAACCACCCTTCCCTCATTCGTATATTCTTGGAAAAAACATTCATAAAACTAAATGAGCAATGCATAAAATATAACAGGAACCATGAGAAGACTTCAAAAGTTGAGAACCATGAGAAGCATCAAAATTTGCCAGATATGGCGATATTTTGGTCTGGTCCCTGCATAGCTGTAACGGATTTTGCAATTGAAGTAACTGTAATTGATGCTATATGTAGCCTGGGACCATATCCGGCCCTCATGCCTTTCAGAAATTTCGAGAAGTGTAAGGGGCTAGAAATCTCTTGCCAATCAGGAGGAAACGATATAAGATCGGAGGGGAGCACCAGTTTCCGAATAGGTCAGGGTTAGTTCGGAGTACTGAGATATCTCCATGTGAGTTTCGCTTTTTAGATGTGCTTTGCATTGCAGGCACTTAGCTGGGGGGGGTACCCTCCCGCTTCACCATTATCTACACTTAAAAAAAGTGCTAAATAATTTTCAATAGATAAGACTTCCTTTTTAATATATTGCTTTCAAGATTCCCAAAATATTCATGTGATTAACACAGAATGAACAGAAAGTCTACGATTTTCCATTTAGAAGTAAGATCAGGAAAAGTCGTCCTTCCTCATCAAACAAGCAGCGAGAAAATACTTCGAAGGTTATGCAACACTTTAGAGACGTAAAGCTTTTCTTCTTTTACAGCTTTGAATAGATCTCCGTATCTGATCCCAGTTTCCCTCTAGCTATCAAGCTTAATGTCACTAAAGAAGAAAAAGTCTTTTCATTTTGGACCAAGCATCTAAAAGCATAATGGTTAAAAGAAAATAAGTTTAAAAAAAAAAAAAAAAAAAAAAAAAAAGAAGAAAAAATTAATTTGGGGTATTTAATTTTAACATTTACTACTCATTATCTAAATATTGCATAAAAGAGAAACACAGTAAAATAATTTTAAGTGATTACTTTTTACATTAATATCGAAGTTTAGTTAAGTCAATAAACATAGCAAAAATTTAATCTTTTTTTGGAATAATATAGAGAGCATGTCAATTGCTACAACTAATTTTTGTAGATTTAGACATTATTCTGTACTTCTGCAAATTTCAGACTTTTGAAATTACCTTTAGAATCTCTAGCTCAATAAGAACTAATACATTCGAAAGTAATTATTTTTCAGTAGAGGAAAATTACCTAGATACTGCAGTGATACACCATTACTATCTTGAGTGCATGCCATTTTTGTAGATGGGGCAGGAGCGATTTTTTATGGCAAGTTTATAAGTTATTTTATTCAAATGAGTCTTTCTTTACCAAAGAAGAAAAAATAATTGTAAAGCATTTACCAAAGAGGGGGGAGGGAATTCTTAAGCAAAGCCCTAACGAGGGGGAAAAAAATTACAAAAGAGTAAGAGTGCTGAATTCGCATGAACAAAAAGCACTCTCTTCTAAACCAACTATAGTCACCTTAGGATGGCCCTCACACAGTCCTAAAGTGGTTGAATGATGTTGCTCGGAACCATAAGTCATCGAATTCTAAGCCTAAAATCATTCGTTATGACAGGCTAGCTCCTTACAGTGGCCATAGCATGTAATTTATATAATGTAAATAGTTAAAGACCATGGTCCTATATTTCTTTTCTAAATTTGTAAGCTTATGCACTCTTATTGATTTAGTATTTGATTATTTAGTACTTGGTTGTAAGTATGACTTCTGTGCATGGATTGTACTGCCCGGGACATTCAATCCTTGGGAAGGGGGCAATGTTACGAATTTTGTACATAGATGATTTTAGTGCAGTTGTATGTGAAATTATTGTATTTTTCTGTGTAATGTAACATAAGGAAAAAGTCTAAAACAGACCAGTTATGCCAGAAAAGTCAGAATACAGGAGCAAGTGCATTTAACATTGAGTAAATGGGTATCTAAGTAATCTGGTGAGATACTGCAAAGCTAAGAATTTTGTTACTTCTTGCCTAAAGTCTGGTCCCTGTATCATCCTATTTTAAACCTGTGAAGGTGGTTTTAAGAGCAATATCTTTGGACACACCCGCGGAGGAGATCTGAAGCTTTTAATGTTATAAAAGTGTGCTCCATGTTTAAATTTCATACACATATTCCAGTGTCTCTTCCAAGAGCAATTACTCATGCCGTCACATCCCTAATGTTATCCCCAATGTAAATTATTATGTTCAAAAAATGGTAGCCATACATACATATATATTAATATTAGTTGCTGAAACTGTACTGATAGAACAAATACAAGATTTGCTTCACTATTTCAAGAACAGAATTTTCCCAGCTGAGCTGTTAATATATTGCATTTACAATAATAGTAATCCATTAAATTAGAATGTATCTAGTAGTAATGTAACATCAGTGTCATGGCGTTAGGTGAATGAAATGGTTTTGCAGCAAGATGCTGCAGTCTTAATTCATCTTCTGTTTAATAAATTAATTCAAAAGAAAATTAAAACTGTATTTCATGACAGCAACAATACATTTATAAAGACTGCTCAAGTTAACAAATGATCTTAAAAGTGCCAGTCCCTTTATGACTATTCTAAAAGTGACTTAAGTGGATGGATGAGCATCAGATTTTCTAACATAAGAAAATGAAGAAAAATTTATTTCCAGTATGCAAATTTATATCAACACATTTTAACATTACAAATAAACTGATATGATAAAAAATAGTTTTTGTGAAAACATACACCTCTGAAGAGAAATGAATTTTTCCATCTTCGAGGAAAGGGGAGGAGAAGAACTGCAATCAGATCTAGTGTAATAACTATCCATCTAATATTCACCACAAGACAGTTTCCTTCGACTGTGATACAATGTAAAATAAATTTTCATTTTTTATCAATTATTTTCAGAACTGATGGGCAGATTTTAATGAAATTTGATGTGGACATATGTTGATATAATATTAAATATACTGTACAACAGTCCTGGTACATACATGACTGTGCACATCTGTGCAGGAAGATCTGAAACAGAGGTTGCAAAATTGAACAAAAGCATAATAGGGAGTATGGTCCCTTTCACCAAACTTTCACAGAGTAACTTACTTTCACATACTGGAAACACGGCAATTCATGACTACATGTTGCAATTTGTCTTATTCCTGCTTTAACATGATAATAAATTAATTCAAAAGAAAATTATAATTCTAGAAAATCATCCACCAGATTAGCCTGCTGTCATCCATAAAAATGCACTGAAAGCTACCTGCCTTCTTGAAAAGATGATCATTATTTTTTCCCTATACCCTACAGCAGTTTGAGAGCTTCTGTCAAAGACATGATCTGTCTGCCTCTCCAAAGAATCAAACCTCAATACTACTGGTCCATTCATGGTTATTCAACAACAGGTAGTGGGTTTCCTGTTTCTCTCCAGATGAAACTTCACTGAGAATCAGTGGTCTCAACCTGAAGAGAACAGTTCCCCACAGATGCTTGATTCAAAGTCTATGTAGACAGAAGTGAGCAGGATGTAAACAGCACATTTTCTTGCAAACATATTTCATTTCTATCAGGCCTTGCTAAAATGGGCAAAATAAATATTTACTGATTGTTACAGCTTTTGGATGGTCAGGCTTTGTAGAAAATGCAGCCATCATTATGGTTGTAGCAGCAAGCATGCTGGTTCAATTTGTTCATTGAGTCATCATCCACTGCTTTCTGCTTGCTGAAACAATGACATGCTGGAACCATTGTTTAATATTTTATCATTCTGACTTTCAAAGTTGCTCATTCGGTAGATACCCACCATGCTTCCTGGAAGGCAGTGATATGTCCTCGATGGAACTAGCTCAATTGCATATAACCTGGCTGAATGGGCATCTGATATATTTTCCTTAGCTATGACCAATAACACTACTATTTAAAAACCCATATGATTTTACAAAGTGTGAAAATACTGCACCTTTTGCCTGCCCACTTATTCCATTTTGATGCACTGTACATGCATTCTGTTCATTAGTCATCAAGCATCGTTCCTTTCAATTGCATGGGCTCTTCTGCTATAAACCATGTTACCAGTCATCACCATAAGAAATTTTTTCAATAGTATGCTTCACTTTATTATGAAAAAAAGCATGTGCCCCACTGAGATAACACTTAAAATTAAACTTATATATATATATATATAAAAGATTTGTATTCACAATGTGGATCGAGCCACACCAAAAATTTCACATAATACAATACCAAGTTCTTTTTAAAGTGCTTGTGTACCTGAACTCACTTTTTAAAAACCACTAGATAAAGAAACTATGATTTTAAAAAACATCTCTCTTTTCCAGCTGTCTCCAAAATTTAAAAATCATGAGTTAATGTAACATTTTTAATATTTAGAAGTTAGCTTATTTTTCGGAAAGTGCTCAATAATAATCTGCAGTATTTAAGAATGTTAATAGGATGTATTATGCGAGTTTATAATAATATATCAATAAAACATACCCATAATAAAATAAGCAAACTTTAATAAAATATAATTATAATACATACTGTAAGTACACATAATTATTACATTTAAAAATTTCAATTTTTCTATTGACACTTGTACAAAAATTACAGTTAGCTTGGTTACATTTGTAGATATAATCTGTAAAAAGTTTTATATAAGACTAGTCAGCAAATTAAATATTAGCAATTTGGTTATTTATGAAGGAATACTTTTATTATTCCACTGAAATCAGCACTAACAAGGACATAACAGTTATTGGTATTGTGCTCAGTTGCTTTCATTTCGTCTGTCTCTCGCTCTTGTTCATGTTCTAGTTGTTTCACTATCAGAGATGGATTAGGTGCAAATACTGCAGACGTGACTACTGCATTATGGGCTGTTTAAGAACACAAATAAATAAATCAATCACAATAAAAACAGATGTTATTATGGAATATATTTTTTCCCAATACCTATCAATTTCATGAGAATAAAAATCAGATCTTTTAAAAGCTCTGATAAAGAAATTTTACACAGAAAATTGACACAAAACTTAGTATTTTGAAAACATTTAGAGGAACATTTGACAAAATTAAACAAATGAAATTCATCTTAACATATTTATTAAAACTTTTTTTTTTATTTCTATTGTTACAAAGGAATTTTGAAATTGAGCCTTATTTGTGCTTTATATTTCAAAAATTGTACACTAATTTATTATCTTGTTCAAACATGACCACCAGGATCTTCTCAAAATGTTTAAAATATTGCCAAACATGGATATTACAAACATTTCAAGACATAAGAGAGAGAGATACAAATTTTTTATTTCTATGTAATTTGTTTCTTAAAATAACACAATTCCAACAAATTATCATTATTTTAATGATATTCCCTAAAATGTCTTAACGTTATTTCCTAAGAGTATAACAAAATTTGCAAATCACCAAAAACCAATTTCTAAAGCATCATGAAATCGTTAAAGTGTTGATTAATCATCAATCCTAGTAACACACAATGAAATAAACCAAATTTCAAAAAGAGAGAACTGATTTTTTTTTTAAACATTAAACCATGTACCACCCAAATTTACTGCTACTAAACTTTTTACTAAAGGGCTGAGATCATAAAGCAGTTACTTCCTTAAAAGCTCACAGTTTTTAAAAACAATGTGTTCCAATATACAAGAGATGACTTACATAGTCAAAACATATTTATTGCAATTTTCAGCACAGAGAGCATCTAAAAACCAGTAAAAAGAAGGTGAACAGTGATTTTTAAATCAAGAGAAAAAAAAAAAAAAAATTCGGGGTGGAGGTGGCATTTTCTATTTTTAAGAAAATGACAGGCATTTCACAGAATGATGTTGAAGGCTCCCCTCTCCCACAAGAGGAATTACTAATTATTTTTATATTAAGTTTTGGAAAATTTAAGAGCTACCAAAACAATTTTAGTTGGAACAATGAAATATTCTCAAGCTGCACTTCATCGAATGACACAGCAAATGTTGCATGAAGTATTAACTTTGGTTATATATTAAATAAGAGTAAATAAAAAACTAAAATGTATTGATTCCTAGCACCTTATATTTTAGTACAGAACTAAAGAGAATGACAAAGGACTTTCAGAAGTAATAGCATTTTACATGTTATAAAATATTTAGAGCAAATAAGTAAACATATCTTTAATAAAAATTACTTTCAAGTAACTGTTGATGTTTGTTTCATGAGAAGAAACCAAGAGAATAAACAGAATTAATAATAAGCACATATAGAATTTTAAAAAGAACAGTGGAAAAAAAAACAAAAAAACTTGAAAGCTTTCAGATTTTACATTACGCTTAGAGGGGCGTTTTTTTAATGTTTTGTGTGTTACCTTTAATTATTAAATATCATGTTCTTTGCACTTAAACCATAAAATTCAGCTCAACAGTAAGGTCACAAAATAATTTTAAAATGAACATATCTTTAGAATTTCTGATACACAGTCTCGCATGTTGATGATAAAAATGTCCCCCCCTACAGTGTTGCCATTGCTAGCTTTTAAATCGTTGAGTTTGTTAAAAAAAAGTTCGTAAAATTTTACAAAATATGAAATAGATAATAAAACAAATTTCAAATTTGGGCTTCCAGATGCCCATACTCACGTGGAATTATATGTTATTCAAAAATTTGATGGCTCTAGGTACCATTGTTTTATCACAATGTGAAAAACATACATACATTTATGCTGATAATTTCTTTAAATATAATACAGAGCTCTAATATTTGGTGGCAACAATTTCAAAAGTGAACCGATATTTCAATATGAAATGGCAAAACAAAATTAATAGTCCTTCTGGGCAAATAAGAAAAAGAGATAGAGAAAGAAAGAGAAAAGGCCAGTTCCACCTTTTTAAATAAAAATCTTGAGGTGGTAAAAATAAAAAAGAAACAAAACAAAAACTTGTTAGTATTATATTTAAAATGCACAAATGAAGCGTTAGGTATCTATCATAATAAATGAGAGTGAGATTTTACCAGTGAATTTATATCACATAATGAAGAAACAGAGAGGTCCAGAGCTACGAAATATGGCACAAAGTTTGTGCAATGATGTTTGCAGGTATCTTAAAGCAACTAAAAACAATGAAATTTGCAAGTAATCAAATCAAAATATTCGCAGCTAAATTAGCTTTGAAATAGGCAAATACTGAAATGTCGTCAAATCTAGCAATGAAAAACAAATAATAATACAGTCAAAAGTCGTTAATCCGGACTCGTCGGGACTTCGGCGATTCCGGATTATCGATTTTTGCGGATTATAGATCATCAGTTTAAATCTTGTAAGATGGCATGCAGAAATTCTAAAATTAAAAATATGAAACCGTAATTTATGAAATAAAGAACAATTATGATCTAAAGAGTATCAAAATTTACAAAAAAAAAAAAAAAAAAAAAAAAAAAAAAAAAAGCTTATTATTTATTTGTTTATTTTATTAAACATTTCTCTCAATGTAAGTTGTTTAAGTTGCTTCATTTTATGTGATAATACCTTCTCTTTAATTCTATAAAAAGACATAATTTCTTGTTCAGTTACAAAGTTCCGCTGTTCAAGTCCCGTAATTGCTGTGCCGAGAATACTGACTAACTTGTCAATCAACATTTTTTCGTTTTCACTAAACTCTCTGTCACATTCTTCATATCTTTATCCATTTTTTGCAGCAATTTCACTTTTTGTTTGTTGGACATCGAAACATACTTTCGTCTTGTAGATCCTTTGGAAGTTCCAGCACCGGAAATTCTATTTGACATAATCGAAAGTTCAAGTTTACTTTTATAAAATTGCTCTTACAGTCTCAAAAAATAATAAACCAGATCCAATTCGAAGATTAAGGAACAACGCAATCATTAACATTAACTGAAATAGATAATTAGATAATTTTAACTTACACCGTCCGTTATACATTAAACGCGCAGGCAAATACGTATTCTGCACTTGCGCACACGTAGATGCGCAGTAGTCAAAGTCTTATGCGCATGCATAAAACGCCTGTGCGCATGTGCCAAAGCGGCGCATGCGCAGAAAGTTTTTAGCTTTGAGGTCCGGATTATGGGTGTCCGAATTAACGACTTTTGACTGTAATAATAATAATAATAATTAAAAAAAAATATATCTGCCTTTTTCTCTCCCTGAAAAGTCAGACAAGTTGTTTTTGATGAAAGTTATCCATTAATGGATTATAAAGGGAAATGGACAAATAGGATGAATTCTAATGACAGTTCAGATACTAAGAATGCACGCTTAAAAAATAAATGACAAATTGCCAAACTGACCCCATTTTCATGGAAAAAAAAAAAAAACACCACTATGCATAAGATCATAAAATTCGAAGAGTTTTAATAATGATTACAAGAAATTCGTAAAAAATAGCAGCTATACCATCAGAAAAAATCTTTTAAATGAAATTTATTCAAAACTTCCAACTAAATTACCAATTTTCAGCAACTTTTTAACAATGCACATCCATTATTTTAAAATTTCAATACCAAAAATCACGTCAGAGTAAAAAAAACTAAATATTTTTAAAAGATTACAAAAATGAATTTTCACTCTTTTTTAAAAGAAGAATGATTAAAAAAAGAATTAATTACATGATTTTTTACATTTCTCCCTTTAATACATTGTGCAATTTAATTTATTTTTAATCTTCTCATCCCTGACAGATTAATTTTTATACTTTTTCTTGGATGTATATTCTAATCTGAGGAAATTTACTGTCTGTAAAAGAAGGAAAATAAATTTACTTGAAGAGTTACGCATTCAGTACCCAAATGCTCCAGTATAATGTACTGTGATGTAGCCATTCCTCTATAGACACTAATACCGGCTAGCTTTAAAAGGATTTATTAACAGAGCACACAGGAACGGTTACAAACAAAAGAAATATACATAAAAATGAAACATATACCAAATGGAAATCAAACATTTGAATAACATAGTAAACTATCATCATGGCGACTGGAGGTCGACTGACGTTTTTTCATATCGCCACTATATGGCGTTTAAATAAAATAGTTCGGTTACAGTTCATGAGTTCATGGCGTTGAATAAAATAGTTCAATTACACTTAAATAGTTCTGTTACAGTACTAATTAATAATAATAACTCTAAAAAACTGGTCTGTCATTTGGTTGTCCAAATAAGTTATCAGATAAGAAATGTCATGATAATTATTTTTTCAATCATAATCTTTATGGAAAAAAGTAACTACATTTAATAACTGCAATTCATAATTTTATTCATAACAAATTAATTCTTTTAAAAATTAAATTTTTACTATTTTCAGAAATTATTTTTAATCTTGGATATATGAATTTTTAAACTACTTGCAACTATTTACTTTAAATTTTTACTATTTTCAGAAATTATTTTTTATCTTGGATATATGAATTTTTAAAACTACTTGCAACTATTTTATAACAATTTTTTTTTTTTTAATATACGTACTGAGTCAGTCAATGCTTTGAATATAAGTTTATAGAAAAATTTCCTTTAAAAAAAAAAAAAAAAAAACCATGAACTATTCCCTTACTGAATTTTAGCTTCATTAAAATTATTTATTTACTTTTTTGAATGTAATAAAGTCTGAGCAAGCTTAGCTCTATACTATGTAGAGAAAATCAATACAATTCATATTGAAAACTGCTACTTAATTTATTTAGACAAATGTTATAGCAATAGTCCATATAAACAAATCTTATTAGATTAAGTGAATTTAATTATGAAATGAGATAACCACAGTTATCTCATTTCAGAATTTGTCATGTATTTTTTAAGTGTGCATTCTTAGTATCTGAACTGTCATTAGAATTCATCCTATTTGTCTATTTCCTTTATAATCCATTAATGGATAACTTTCATCAAAAACAACTTGTCTGACTTTTCAGGGAGAGAAAAGGGCAGAAGTTTATTTTTTTTTTATTTATTTTTTTTTTTTTATTATTTATTATTATTTTTTTTTTAATATTATTATTTGTTTTTCATTGCTAGATTTGACGACATTTCAGTATTTGCCTATTTCAAAGCTAATTTAGCTGCGAATATTTTGATTTGATTACTTGCAAATTTCATTGTATTTAGTTGCTTTAAGATACCTGCAAACATCATTGCACAAACTTTGTGCCATATTTCGTAGCTCTGGACCTCTCTGTTTCTTCATTATGTAAAATAAATTCACTGGTAAAATCTCACTCTCATTTATTACGATAGATACCTAACGCTTCATTTGTGCATTTTAAATATAATACTAACAAGTTTTTGTTTTGTTTCTTTTTTATTTTTATCACCTTAAGATTTCTATTTTAGAAAGGTGGAACTGGCCTTTTCTTCTTCTTTCTCTATCTCTTTTTCTTATGACATTTGCATGGGGGGGGGGACATTTTTCACCTGCACCAAAATGTTTTTTTTTCCCCGCATCCTGTGCCTTAACCCTTCTAGTTGCACAGTCAAAATCAGGTATTAGAGGGCAGTTAGAGTTTACCCAGACAAAAAGCTGTACAAAATTTTGATGCACCCAATGAAAGCTATAAAATTTTTGGATGCACCCAGGCTAAAGCTGTTAAAAGAAAAGTAATTTTATTATCCCGTCAAAGTTGCTGACAGTTTATATGTTTGGCAGAATGCCAGCCAGGCCAAATATTTTGAACAGAACGTTTTGACACTATAACTCAGCCTTGATTGTGACTGCATATCTTCCTATGAGTAGCCATACAAAACACATAGACAGACAAGAGGTTCTCAACCTTTTTTGCCCCATGCTACCCTTTTTCTAGTCAAGCTCATCACCCTCCTCTCCAAAACTTAAAAAATACATAAACATTTATTTAGATTATTTTTTGAAATGTTTTTTATTAATTAAACACCAAAAAGTACAGAAAATGTCGATAAATACCAAAACTTGAATAAAAGTAGTATCTTTTTTAAAGTCAAAAACTACAATTAAATACTAAACAGCTAACTAAAAAATTAACTACTTCCCCACTGAAACTATGAAATTCCCCCATGGCGGAATTCCTCCCTTATTGAGAACCTAAGATAGGCATCATACTAACTAATGTTGAGCAAATGGGTTTATAGTATCTTTCCAGGTTAAATTTCAGACTAGCTGACATCTTTTATTTTATTTTATTTATTTATTATTTTTTAAATAAGGTGTTGATAGTATTATAACAATTGAAGCTGGGTAAAATAAACTAGCTACTATATTGGGTGAAAGTAGGTTTGTATAGAATTGTTGACTTAGTTTGTTATAGAATTCTGTATTAAAATATATTGTGGGAACTGTTACTAAGATTATGTAAAAGTGCCATCTAGATGCCATCTTCATAACTATTCTTTTCATTCTAATGTAAATAAATAAATTCTAATTTAGTTTAACTTCATGAGTTGTAATGATGCTTATCAATTCTTCCCTTTAATATTAAGGTATAGAAAGAAACAGGAAAATGTATTTAATTAACATACCCTTTATTCCAGTCCAATAGGTGTTCCTATCTCTTCTAAATTTTGCATGGTCATGTGAAGTTTTCCATAAATATATAAACTGATTTTCAGAGCCACTGATAATAAATTTTCCATCATGGCTGTTAAGAAGAACATAAATTTAGGAAAATGAATAATTTAACTACAGTACAAAGTCTTCAATTCGAACTCGTTGGGACTTCAGCGATTCCGGATTAGGGGTATTTCTGTATTATAGATCATCAATTTAAATCTGGTACGATGGCATGCAGAAATTATAAAATTAAAAATATAAAACCATAATTTATGAAATAAAGAACAATTATGATCTAAAGGGTATCAAAAATTTCCAAAAAACGCTTAATATTTATTTTACTTTATTAAACATTTCTTTCAATATAAGTTGTTTCGTTTTTTGTGCTAATACTTTCTCTTTAATTCTATAAACAGACATAATTTCTTGTTCAGTTCCACTGTTCAAGCCCTATAATTGCTGTGTCAAGAATACCGACTAACTTGTCAATCAAAATTTTGTTCATTTTCAATAACCTCTCCGTCACTCCCTTCACTATTGGAAGCGGTACATCGAAACATGCTTTCACTCTGCAGATCCTTTGGCAGCTCCAGAATCGGAAACTCTTTTTGACATAATCGTAAGTTCAAGCTTACTTTTTATAAAATTGCTCTAACAGTCTGCAAAAAATAATAAGCTGGATCCAATTAGAAGATTAAGGAACAATGCAATCTGCAACATTAACTGAAATAGATAATTAGATAATTTTAGCCTAGCTTATACTGTTCGTTATACATTAAACACACATGAGTAAACGTATTACACGCATGCTCAAAGGTATTATCTGCACGCGTAAACACATTAATGCGTTTACGCATGCGCAAAAAGTTTGTAGCTTTGAGGTCCGAATTATGGATGTCCAGATTAAAGACTTTGTACTGTATTGATTTATATTGAAACAATTATAAATATTTATAAAAAAAACCTTAGTCATCATGGATGAAAACATTGCAAAGAATCTTATAGAAAAAGATATTAAAAAGAATGAATTAAAAGATAAAGGCCTATTTATAGTCTTCTTTAGTTACATGACTGCTTCTACAAATGTTAAGCCATTTTAAGTTACATTGTATATTTTTGTATAAAAGCTATATGCTTCTACGTTTAAATGTTAAGCCATTTTAAGTTACATTGTATATTTTTGTATAAAAGCTATATGTTTTTAAACACTTTCATAACGTTTTAAGGGTCTGACATCATAATTTTTATTTCAACAAGAAAAGAGAATGTGACATTATACATTTTATTTCAACAAGAAAAAATAAATATTTTTTCCAACATACGATAAACTACAATGAATGTTATGCAGTTGCATACAATCTTTTATTTATTATTTACCTTTTATTTAATAATTAAAGTTTTCTTAAAATACATTAGGCTATAAACTGATAATGTTCATATTAACAATTTTCTACTACACAAAGGTTCTACAGCTATCTTAAACCTGAGATCATGCAAAAAAGAAGACAACAGACAGAAGACTTATATGGTTGAAAATTTTACATTTATCTCCCAAACTATAATAGCATGTTGCTATTTTAAAGCAATTAATCCCTAATTTTAATGTTTTGATACTTTTGCCAACAAAATTTTAAAATCTTACATTGTTGAAAGGGAATTCCAATATTTTATGAGATTAATGATACTATATTTAACACTGAATAGTTGAATCATAATACCATGGAAAACAAAAATATCTTCAGAGTTATGCAAATACGTAACTATTGAACTGCAATATACCTAACTGTTGAAAACAAATCAGATATTTATATAATACAAATTTTGATTATATATATCATATGGCTGGCAATCAGTAGTGAGTTAGTTATTGGAAGCTCACACAAAACCTTTGTAAAATTAGTCTCTATCATGCAAATCTCTTTTTGTTTTATTATTTATTTATTCTCAGAAAAATGTATATGATATATGTTATAATCATTTTATTGAAAGGGCTTTATTTAAAAAAATTCAATAATGAAATTTTAACAATATAAAAAAAAAAGTCATTATGGAGATTATCATTAGTAGCAGAACTGACATTAAATGAACTTTCAGCTCAATGAACAATGCTGCTACAAAGGAGACAGAAAACTTCTTTTAGAGTATAACATATTTCAATTTGATGAAGAAAAAAATCTGAAAGGGTTCAGATTTTAATGATTGCCCAAAAGGATTTGTTAAAGATTTATAAGCTCTTGCTGAGCTTGCAGTCCACCAGTCTGGTGTTGCACTCACACCTGCTAATCCATTTCTTTTTAGCTTTATTATTAAGCATAATTATTTTCACACGTATGCAATATACAATTCAGCATAAAAATTACAAATTTAAAAAATAATATAGCAGAATCTGCTTACAGTTAAGGATACAATGATAAGTGGTGGCATAAAATTTTCTATTTTTTTCAATCTTTTCTCAGTTTATCATATTAATGTTCAGTTTTCTTAGTAAGATGGCTTTCGAAACTTTTTTTTTTTTGGTGTGTTTTCTTTATTAATGTTTTGTGTGTTAACTTTATTTATTAACTTTTAAAAGACTGAGGAGTTTAGAAAGGCTTTACTTAAAAGAATGGGTAATCCAAATGCATTTCCACTCCCTTTGAACTGCCATTGTTAAGAGAAATTACTACTGCTTTGAAACCTTTCTTTTAGGTTGCCTTTGTTAATTTTCAAGTAAGAGACTACGGAATAATACAAAGGAGTTTTTTCTCTTTTCCCTAAACTAGGGAAACTTATAATGGTGAGATTTTGTAGCTAATGGTGGAATGTTAACTTTTGACACTGCGTTATAATGAAAACACACCTTGGCAGCAAATACCTCCTAGGTACACCTAAAATCAGTGCATAATCTAATCAGTTTTTATTTGCTTTCAAACTGAATTGAGTTTAGAATTACATGTACTGATTAATGGCTTTAATTTGTACTCAAAAATGATATTTAACTATCTGTTTCTTGCATAAATTGGTAATTCGCATTCATTTGCATACAAACATTGTGTAACTGCTTATATTTACATATTAAACAAACCCCTTTGTATTTTTGTGATATTAGCTTCATTTACCTTTTTTAGTATTCTTATTCAGTTTTTTAAAATTTATTGATCCTCCCCAATGTATCGAAAGTATTTCATCTTTCAATTACATTACTGCTCATGGTTCTTTCTTGCATTTTTGTGATAAAAGCTTCCGCCCCTCCTTCAGCACTTTTTTTTTTAATATTCTTCCCTACTACTAAAAAAAAGAGAGAGAGAGGGGTTTTTTTATTATATTTTCATTGCATTGCATTTTTCATGTTTCAAACAGCAATATCAAACACAAAAATTTTAATAAAAAGGGAGAATATAAAGAAATATAGACCCTCCCGAGGTCGATGAACACTAAATGTAATCGAGGAATAAAATCGATGAACACTGATAGCTAGGCTCAGTTTACATTTCGGTGAACTAGCTGGCTGCATGTGGCTACATGTGTAACATGAGTACCAAACAAATTCCCTTTTAAAAGTCCTCCAGGAAGACCTTTCTCCCTTAGGCAGATAGCCCTTTGTGCCTTGTTTGTAATCCAAATATTCCGACTTTTATTTACATACATGTATAAAGACTGGAATTGTCATAAACATATAATTATCCTGTCAAAATATATATGCTTTTATGCAGGTCACGTTTTGCAGGAATTTAGCTCATATTTTCATTATGCACAAAAATGTGAGGAATATTGAAATTACAAATGTTATTAAAATAACATTTCTCATTATTACTTCACCACAGCAATGAGAATTTCATTATTAATAGTAATAATAATAATAAAAAGATATATGCCAAAAAGTAATTCAGTCTCTTGGTAAAATATGAAATAAGCTAAATTAGATTGTATGATTATGTAAAATTATGCTAGTGCTGTTTGCTTATGAGGAAAAATAACATCGTTAAGGATTTTATTTATTATTAATTATTTACTATGTGTTGTATCATTAGGCACTACATGGAAAGAGAGGGATGCTTCTTGGAAGACGTTTTAAGAGGAACTGGCTCGTATGCACATTACACATGAGAAAAACATCAAAAACACCCATGCAGCAAGCCCGTTTGCTGGGACTTGAATCCCAGACTGAACTATCAGTGTGCAGTGGCTTTCATCACTTGGCTGTTGGTGAGCCTTTGTTAAGAACTTTCTGCATAAAACTTGCCCGTATGTTTGTTGTGCATGTGTACGTGAAGGAAAAAACAAAAGCTTTATTTAGCAGCAGCAGAAAATAGAACCTTTGAGAACCACCAGTATATTAAGACACAATAACACACCAAACAAATACTAATTCAGAAGTCAAACAACAAAAATCAGCGTTATATTTTCAAATTTTCACAGGCCTAGTATCGATGGTTTTACTGAACCACCATCTTCAGCTGCAAAAGCACAAAATGAACGAGATAGGATATAATGATTAGATAAAATAAGAAAGGCTGAACAAGAATAAGCAAGTGGCGCCATCTGTTGATGAAACCAGAACTAAAACATAATTTCTTTAAAGGCCGAAGGCAAAGATGGATTGGAATTAGGATTGTTAACTAGAACAGAAATATTTTTTTGAATGTGAAATGCCTCTAGAAAATCCAGTTCTCCAATGGAAGATGTTTCTTGAATAATTTTGGCAACAGAAAAATTGAAAGTGTGATTTTCAGACAAACAATGTTGGACAACAGAAGACTTCTGTGTTTCCTTTTTTCTAACATATGCCTCATGTTTCTTGACGCGAAATTTTAAGGCTCTCTTAGTTTGGCCAATGTAAATTAAACCACACTGGCGGAGGAATCCTATAAATACCCCAGGAATTCATATCCGGAATGGGGTCCTTGAGTATGGAACTCGGAATTTTATTGATGGGAGAGTAAACGACACGAAAGTTAAATTTCTGCAAAATATGTGCAACTTTATAGCTAAATGATGGAAAGAAGGGAATGACAACAGAATTTTTATAATCTCCTAAAACAAGAGTGTGCCTTTTAGTGTGTGGAGATGAGAATTTTTTATCTCATAGAAAGTCCTGACTTTATAAGGAGAAATCTTGTCTTTACATGAAATCATTAATAATTAGTATATTATGCGTTTCACCTCTTTCATGTTTTTGAATAAACTTCTGTGTTGAATGTGAAAAAATATAATTTAATGTTCAAATTTAGAAAAGGATTTGAAGGGATACAGAAATGCAAATGTTTATATCATGTGGCGAGTTAAACAGATGAGCTCTGTCTGTTTACATTATACCCTTGCAACCACGAATGTTATCAAATTGAAGGTCAAGATCCTAAAACTATAATCAGTTCAAAAGTAATGCGATGGCTGGAGATGAACTAGAAAAGATTCTGGCATGCCAGTGTGCCCATCGAGAAATGAGTGTGTTTGTTTCTGGTACATATGTGTGACAATCATGCCAAAGGGTTAAGAAACAATTATACTAAAAAACTGACAGGTTAACATAAATTTGCTGACTGTCTTTTAATGTGTCAGACGTTTTGTTGTGTTTCAAAACAAGTTCTTGATTTTCATAATATATATTTCATTTTCCATCCAGTACCAATTTTTTACAAATTTTAGGTTTTAACTATTAAAAATGTAATATATTTTTAGTTTTTAATTGGCAAATTTCAATTATTTCTAGAATGGTATTTATTACTCTACACAGTATTCTCAGTTTAATGGGTAGAGACAGAAGTTACTTAAAAACTAAATTATATTAACTAGAAATAAAAATGTAGTTAAAAAATTATGAATTGAAAAAAAAATTATACATTATAGAGAAAAATAAGATTATCAAATTTAGAAAATATTGAGAAAAAAATCCTCACCTGAAACTAGCTTTTATTTGACTGCTCAGGTTTACATAACCTTTGTATTTACAAGTCAGACTTAAATCTCGAAGATCATACAATCTTATTCTGGAGTCATTAGAAGTCACTAATATCTGAAAGAATATTGCAAGTAAAATGAATAAATCAGAGAAATGAAAATATGTAACTATGATGCACATCAGGGAACCTCAACTCTTTTCTTGCATTGATCCCTTTTAAAAGAATAATTTTCTTCACCAACCCCCTTCACATTTTTCTCTATAACATATACCATATAACATAATCATAATACAAATATTAATTTAAAGATCACAATTAGACTAATATGAACAAAAGTTTTGAAAACCCGGTTTATTAGACTTATGCTTTATTATTTTATGTAATAGTATTATTTTCAACTTTACCAATTGAAGGTGCTTAATTCTTAAATCACCTCATTCAGAAATATTCAACTTTCTTATTTTCCATAGTAAATTATTGATTTGACTAAAGCATACCTCTAGGTAGGAGGCCTCTAGTCAAGGCCAGGCTAAATCAATATTGTTGGTCTGGTAACCATTTTAATTAGGAGATATTTCTCTCTGATGGCTTTTAAATTCCAAAACTTAGCATACCCATGTGTTTTGAATAAGAAGTATCTGTACTATGAAGCTTTATATCAATAAACAATTAATCATCAATTTTATTAATACATCTTTTGTAATGTGATCTTGATTATTCTGATCAACTAATGATGCATATTTTACTCCAGACTTTTTTAAATTTTTAGTGATCCCCAGTGGGCCCATACCAACCCTGTTGAAAACCCCTCTTGCAAATAAAGCATTTCACAAAAAAAAAAAAAAAAAAAAAAAAAAAATGTATACGAACAATTGGTAGAATTAAAATTTTGTCCCTATTACTCATTTTAGGTAATAATTTTAATAAAAGGATTTGATAGATTTTCAGTTATACTGACATAATCTTAAGGAGCAATGTTTCTGAATTAAGGAGAAATGATATCCTGATGCTAAGATATTTTAAGGCAAACTAATTCATATTTAATACGAGAAAAGCCTGAAAAAATTCTAGAAACATCTTCGGAATGAAGAATTGCAAGAGAGATGAACTGCTGGAATTCAGTTGTCTTACAATTGGATTCCTGATTTTATAAGTTTGGTTTTGAATCTCTGATTAGCTTGGTTAAATTCTAATTAGCATTTGGAGTTAATTAATCCAGTCCAACTGAGTAATGTTTCCACACAGACTGGATATGAGGCTACATGTCTAATTCATGGATACCAAAAATAGCAAAGAAACAACAAATATTTTGCAACAGATAAAAACTGAAACTGCCTCAATAAGAGTGTTTTTAAAGGTCAAGAAACAACAATTTAAAACTCCTGAAAACTGTTCGGTGTACAGTTATGTTTGTTAATTGCAAGTATATGAAAATTTGATAATAAAACACTTACAGAAACCATTACAGATTATTACATTAACTATGTAAGTTTAAAACTTCTATTAAGTGCAATAAGTTGCATTAATTTTCTAAATTTTCGTTTTTAAATGCTTAGGTATCCTTCTCACTTTTTCAGCAAAAATGTATTAGTTAATTTAAAATTATGAATTATAAAAATAAATATATTCCTCTTTCCTTTTTGTGCTCAAAAATCATTATGTGAATATGCAATTTTTAAAGCCTAAAAAATGCATGTGTGTGATGTTATTGTCATGCGATGATTTGTAGGAGTATTTTTTACCATGATATTTTCAATGATGATGTTTTTAAACTGCAGAAGTTATTAAACCATTTTATTTTTTTATGACGGTATTTTGTATCACAAGGTTTTAGAACTGTGGTGTTTACTCTTTGCTTTCTTTTCTATCATAATGTTTTGGCCTTGCGTTGTTTTCTCTATGACGTTTCAGTCCACAATGTTTTTGACTGTAACCAAATGGTATAAAGGAAAGGTAGAACTAAAGAAAGGAGATTTAGGTTTAGTAAATGATTGGGATAACTATTTTCCTCCTAATAATTTTATTTGTAGTTATTTATCAAGTTTCGAGTATTACTGTATTGTTGTATAACCATCTTTATTACCATACCTGCCAACCTCTAAAGATAAAAATTCAGATGATTTCTCCCCCAAATTCAGAAGATTTCTCCAAAATTCAGAAGAACACGAAGAATTAATATCATGCTTTAATATTAAAAAAATAATAATTTGTACAAATAGAAAAAAGAAAATTGTACTTACATTAGTAAATCTCAATTAAGTAGTAACTAAAAATTGATTAGGAAACATAAAACAAGAACACATGTTACACAAAAAAAATTATTGCAATGAATTTAGAGTGCATTTTTTGGCTTTAGCCAAAAATTCTTTCGAAAATTTCCTTTCATGACAATTAGTTTCCTCATAACATTTAGCAATTAAAATGTTTTCTAGAGTTTTTGGTGAAATTGAAGAACGAAACATAGTTTTGTTTTTCTTCACAACACTGAAGATTCTCTCGCACTCGGCATTACTGTGTGGAATTACGAGAATAGCACATAAAACTCTTGCTAGTCTATCATATTTTGGTGTTACATCAGCTCTTTTTACTCTTTTTAAGGTACCAACGAGGACATCAAGTCTCCAGAAGTTCTCCAGAACTGGCAAAGTCTTCAAACTGTGCAGCAGAAAATTGGTTCTGTAGTTCATCTAAAGCATCATTATGGCATTCATTTTCTTTAATTGTTAACAAAAATGGAAATTTATCAATAAAAATAATATGCGACAGAAATATGTGACAACGATGGGGTAAAGCTTCCAAACGCTGTCGTTGCTGCCATCGAATGACACCGAAAATGCTGAATTCTGGAGTGCAGCTATTGTTTTACTTTGTGCATCGCAAGCAATTTTTTTGAACTCATTTCGTAACAACGACGTATTAAGAAAATTCGTAGCACGTGCAAACAAACAAACAAACAAACAAACAAAACCAAAAAAAAAAAAAAAACAGAATGCGACAATTCACGCTCGCTGAGTAATTCCCTTGCTGCTGAAGCAAACACGAAAAAAAAAATAATCTGGTGCCCACAAAGAAAAGAGTGGGAGAAACAAGTTCAGCGCATTGGATTGGCTGGTTAAGCGGCGAGTTGGGAGAAACCGCAGGTTTTTGGATTCGAAGTAGTCGGTAGTTGGTGGTAAAACATGATGCAATTGGCGAAAAATTCTAAAATTTCGACAAAAATCACTAAAAACACTTGAAAAAAATCGTAAAAAATGGATTATGATCGAAAAATCGTAAAAACAAACGCATTTTCGTAAAAATTACGAAAAATTTGCAAAAGTTGGCAGGTATGTTATTATTATTATTGTCTTTTATTGTTATGTTTGTATGTGATATATTTATCTCTTGCATTTAATATGTATTTGATATAACTTGTGTTGGTAAATTTATTATTGAATGTTTGCAACATTCAAGGCCAGGCAATATGTTGATGCCAGAAGAATCATTTGTGGAAAAAAATGTGTAATATTTGTGTTCTGTAAAGATGATGTCAATGTTTGTTTATTGCACCACCTCGCGGCCACTTCACTGAGTTCTATTGTGTGTATTCTGACATGCTGCCGAGAGATCTGAATTATGTGGTTCTTTTGAGTAAATAAATAAATTGTCATATACAGTCAATTTAGAGTTTGTATGTGCAGTGATTTATTTTAATTATTAGTTTAATTGAGTTATTGACAGGCCCACATGCAGTACTTAAAATAATTTTTAGGAAGGCATAAATAAGTTCTAATAAAAATAAATTAATGAAATTAACACAGAAACATTACTTTATCTTCCCCAGGCATAGCTTCGATACCACTAATCTTTCTTCCCTGGGCATTTTTCCCTTTAGTACTCCTAACGTGAATTTGAGTGTAATACTTGAGTTGCTAGAAAGAAAAAAAAATTATTATATTACTTTTGAAAATGGATGTAAAAAATCTGAGCATAAAATCAAATTAACACTTACATCAGTGTAATAAAATATGCAACGACCATCATAAGAACCAACTATTGCTATTTTTCCATTCTGGCAAAAATTAACAGCCGTAATAAGCTTTGTTTGTCCATCTAATTCATTCCATAATGTAACTTTTTTATCCGGAATATTCCAAAGCCGTAATTTTCCATCTAAAGAGCCACTCAAAAAATAACGATCATCCTAAATAAAAGATATCAATACAATGTTATCATTACATATGAATATAACACGGTAAGTTTTATGTAATACTCAAGAAAAGCAAAGAAACAATTTAAAACTAATTTTACAATATATAAGAAAGATTATACCGTCTGACCTTACTTTCACGTGCACAAAATACGTTTCCCCCCCATTAGGAAAGCAGTCACATTACAAGTATAATATAAAGTCATACCATAGTCAGAAAGTTGTTTTATTTTATTTTATTTATATTACTTATACACTGCATTTTACAGTAACTGCATTCTTATTCTTCCTTTGGGAATCTATTCACTCTAAAGAAAGAAAAAAATTAAAAATTTTTATTCCCCTCTAAGTGCAGTTTTCATTTACAAATTTCAGTACTTACCAGTTATAGCAAGTCACATATTATTGATGATAATTTTTTGAAACCAAAAAACAAAACACCAAATGTATGTACCAAAGGTTAAAAATAATGAATTCAGAAAACTGAAATTTACTTCAAAAGAATGACACACTACACAAAGAAAAAGTATTGTGAAATAAAGAAGGAAAAGCTCATAAAAACTTTCACTTTCGCTACGGAATGTAGTTACCGAAAAATTGAACAACCATGCTGGAAGGTTACATTACCCAAACAATTATTTGTCAATGGCATTCGTCTCGGAATAAGCGAGTTTCTTTCTTTTTTTTTTTTTTAAATGGTTAAAACAAACTGCAAAAACTTTAATGAGGCTATTACAGATGATGTTACCAGCAATTCAATAACATTTATGAATTGTTTAAAAGAAAATTTCATGCAACAGAAGATATGAGTTACCATAATGTCACTGGTGATATGTTGTCACCCAAAAACAAAGTTGGGTTTCTTCCAGAAGAATGAAAAAAATTAATTGACAGAGCTGTGGGGATAAATGTGACAGCTAAAAAGGATAAATTAATAAAATGACAGTTAGTTGAAAATAAATGCTTCATTATTTTTGAAACAAAATGCAAAATAATAAAATTTTTCCTCAAAAATGCTATATCATGAAATTATTTAAAATGGTCAGATATACAATCATGTTTTGTTTTGTTTTGTTAGGGTGCAGCCCGGTCCACCTTGCAAAACAAAGTTTGCCCTATGACCCTATACGGGCTATGTTGTATATGAATAAAGTAAAATAATATGAAATAAGTAAAAAAAGCCAATTTTTTCCCTTACCAGTTTTCTCCACCATGGAAGAAACTTGGTATGAGAATCAGAGCCGGGACAAGGGTGAGGCAAGTTCACTTGCCTCAGGTGAATCACTAGAAGGGGCACTGAATTGGCTATACAAATTCAAAAATTACTTTATTTTAAATTTGTTAGTTATTATTAGGGGAGACAAGCTTTGGCAAACTTAAATTAATAAAACAATCGGAAGAACTGCAAGGAAACCTGGAAATTAATGCAATGTGCATTTTGATGTTATTTCTGTTTATCAAAAAAGAAATTTTTAACATTTTAATATGAAAATTATAGATAATTAGCTATATTATTTTTTTGAATTTATAAAGCTATGATTAAAAATACATTAAGAATAATGGTATAATTATGCTATAAGAAATATGATATTTTGTTTTAATACATTTACTTTTGTTTAATACAAATACAGCTATTTTGATATATATATAGGGGCACTCATTTACCTTTTCGTCTCAGGTGAAAAAATATCTTGACATGGCTCCAATGAGAATATACCATTTCTACAGTCTTACTTTACCATGATGCCATATACAAACAGAAGAAAGGAATGTCAGTCATCAAATTTCATGTAGAAAGTTCAGCAAAATTGCAGCAAATTTTCTCCACTTTTGAATTTACCCATACAAAATTATAAAACAGTAAAATATATGAAAAAAAAAAAAAAGTAGTTCCACTTAGATTGTTTTTGCAATGATGTACAATCAAATTTATAATATAATATTTTAGATTTAATTCTGTTTTTTACTTCTTCTATACAATTTTCCTATTTTCCCATTTTTGACATTGATAAGAACTTAAAACTCAGTTTTAATATCTGTGCAAATACAAAAGCAGATCTCAATGAAGGTATGCAAAAATGCATACACAACCTTCTCAAAAAAGCACATAAAAATAATCAAAGAAAGGTTATTATAAACATACAAATAAAATAAATGGAAGATGCCTATTTTTTCTGGGTTGTTGTTTTAACTGTGGAAGAAACTTTCTAAAAAATTTCTTGGTACCAAAAAGTGATCGCCAAAAATATGTGACCTAGTATAACTCTATAACTAGAATTGCATGCTAAGTAGTTACTAAAAAATGAATGCAATTTGTAGTTTTTCTATATCATATAATCACTTATAGCAGATCAGTAACATAGTCTAATGCTCAGTTTAGAGATAAACTTGATTTAATGACTCTTTTCATTAATCCAGTTTAAAACTGATAAAAAGAAATTTCCCCACAATCTAGTAAAGCATTTACTTGATTTAATACTACATTATATTTGAAGCCAAACATAATTCTAAAATAATGCAATATATACTGGCCCTGAAAATTCAGGATTTCATTCTATTTCTTTTTGAAGTCTCAATTTTGTGTTTTTAGGTTCCATAAGTTACAATTCATGCAAAATTTTACCACAATTTAAATTCTTTTATATACTGCCCTAGAATGGGTTAAAATGCAAAATAAAGCAGAACTGTATTAATTTTTTAAAAATTAATGTATATCATTATTTCTATGTTTAATTAATATAATTTTTCTATTATATGTCTCCTTTAAAACATAACACACAAATATTATTATGGCAGGAGTGCAATTTTTTTGTTCATCATTTGACATGAGCCTTGAGCACCACACAGATGACAGTATGTCTTCTGTTCAGTTCCATCCCAATTTCGAGATAGAGCACACAGGGACGGTTATTCTATGCTACGAGAGTCGACAGCAAGTTGTGGGCCGCCAGATGTCGCTGCTAGTGAAAAACAGGTCTGCCCAACATCCTATATTCTCTGAGTACGGAAGTTGTAGAAAGCGCGTAAAAAAGTGTTCCCGTGTCGTCGATCAGGGTTGTGCAGTTGACGTACTAAGTAGACAACGGCTTTGTGTATGTTTTCGCCGCTGATTTTTTTCATATTTAAACAAAGAATACGGTCGTAGATCTCTGAATCAGCGGCGAATTTATAGAAAATATGTTGATGCTTTTGCTCTGCCAGAAGATGTTATCATTGCGTATTTCAGATTGGCAAAATTTACAGTTATTTTAATTTGCAATGAACTGATAGAGTATTTGGAGCCACATTCAGAAAACAAAAACACAGTTTTTACTGAAAGAAAGGTTATTTATACTATTCCTGAAATTATAGATATAAATTGTAATTATATGCTTTAAAAATGTAGAAGATAATAAGCTTATTAAGCACATATAGACATCCAATACGCTTCTACTCGATTTATGTACAGCAAGAATTATGTTTATTTTAAAATCTAACAGTTGAATACCTTACGAACAATACTGTACACAAAAAGGAATGTTGTTCATTATTACGCAAAATTCACACTACAGTAAAATAAAAATTTAAAAAACAATTATAAAACTATAAAATAGCTTTATAATATTTTTTCAGTAGCAGTACTACTACTAGTGTGATACTTTTAAAAATAAGTTTTAGCCTAGAAGGGCTATTAACTTCGTTTTGCCATTTTGTAGCGTTTCACTTTTCAAATCGTTGCCACTAAATATCATCGCACTGTATTATATTTAAAGAAATTAAATAATGAGAAATATGCATAAATGTATGAATGTTTCTCCCACTGTGATAAAACAACGGTACCTAGAGGCATGAAATTCTGAATAACGTAAACCTCCATCCTAATATAGGCACCTTGGAGGCCAAAATTTGGCACTGGGAATTTGTTTTATTATCTATTTCATATTTTGCAAAGCATTTATGAGTGTTTGATTAAGAAACGGAATGATTTCAAAGCGAGCAATGGCAACATTGTACGGAAAAAAAAAGAGGAAAAAAACATTTTCATCTCTAGCGCGCGAAACTATGTATCGGAAATTCTAAAGATATGCTCTTTTTAAATTATATGATTTTGCTGTTGAATTGAATTTTATGGTTTAAATGCGAAGAACATGATATTTAATAAATAAAGGTAACACGCAAAAACTGAAAAATACCGGCCTTTTGGGAGTAATATAAAATCTGAAAGCTTTCAGTTTTTTTTTTTTTTTTTTTTTTTTTTTTTTGGTGTGTGTGTGTGTGTGTGTAATTTTATTACGCTTTAAAATTGGTTTCTAAGGGAGGACTTTCTGAGGGAAACTGGCTTGTATACACATTACATATGGGGAAAGCCACGAAAACGCCGATGAGGGCAGCTCGTTCGTGGGATTCGAACCTCGGACCAAACTATCTGCGTTCAGCGACTCGCTCAGCCACTGGTGGGCTTATTAGCAGAATTATACTGTATTATTATTTTATTATGCTATAAATTAACAATTCTATAAGACTGAGAAGTACCTTTAGAATTTCCGATACATAGTTTCGCGCGCTAGAGACGAAAATGTTTTTTTTTCTCTTTTTTGTTCATGGAATAGTACTTTTGTAATCCATTAGTATTAAAAAATCATTGTTTCTTTGCAAACTTAAAAAAAAAGATACTGTTCATAGCAGAGTTCTCATTTTGATATTGTAAAAAGATATTGATTATTATTAGTTTTCTATTTAATGTGTCGAAACGCTGGTTTGACAAGGACTTCAACTGCAGAAAAAAATTTAAAGAAACAGCGTGAATCTGGAAAAAAATTACCTTCAGTATATTTAAAAAACACTGATAAATTTATAAAATAATCTGAATTAATATAAAAGATTTTCTTATATGAAATTATCTAAGTGCATTTAGTTACAATATTATTAACACGAATATCGTTTTGTGTAAAGGTAAAGAAAATATTTTTTCTCGCTAAATGAATTAATGAATTATTTATTTCGAGGGGAAAAAAAAAAAAAAACGCTTGAAAATTCAAGTTTAAATTATCGTGAAAAGTCAAAGAAACGTTTTGTCAAAGAACGATTCATCTTAACCCGTGTTCTTCAATTTCCTATATACGTCGTACATTGATTATTTTTACTTTGGTACTTGCATTGTGAAAATAATATTACTATCTTCTAATTATTTTCACAGAATAAAATCTTTTGAGAAGGAAGAATATTTTAAATAAGCAGTTTTTATATATATAAGAAATTAAAATAACAGCAATGTAATGTTAAAAAAAAGTATTAGTAATTGTGTGACAAAAATTACAATACGAATTAATCACACATACAGGATAGATTAGTATAATTTTGGTATATATTTTATATTGAAAAAATATTTTCTTTCATGTTAATTATAGAATAAATTATTTAAAATAAAACATTTTGATGCGTGTGTGATAGCTGAATGCAGCAGCAATCGGCCGTACTGTAATAGCGAATGAATTTTAGAAAGAAATAATTTTCATAGAAAAAGAAAATAAAAAAAAGGAAGAAATATTTTCTTTCTAATTTCTTACTTAAAGAAATATTTTTCTAATATTAACTGTAAAATAAAATGCGTGAAAACAGCTTAATGTAAGCATATTAAAAAAAGAAAAAAAGAACTTAGTTTGCAATTAGATTGTAATGCAAGTTAATCATATTATAAATTTAAATGAATAAAATTGTTTATTTCTAAAAAGATTTAAAGTAAGCTTAATTTATTTATTCTTATCTATTTACCGTTGCTTTTATGGTATCCCATATCACTCTATATTTCTTAGTCCTAAATTCCTGCGTTAACTTTCCCCTTAAAAAACGGATAACATAACAGCATATTCTGCTGCGTGTTGGTCATAATACTGTTTTGTGCCATTTTTTTCAAACTACAAATGCAGCGTGTGAGTTAGTGAAATAATAGGAGAATATTCTTAGAACTTCAGCCAGCGCGCGCTATAAATTTCGTCACTCGTCTGTACTGCGATTGGTCTAAAGCTCCTTGAAGCCTTGTCCCCTTTCAGTAAAGTCAAATGGACCCACCCACCCACCAACTGAGGACCACAGAATGGCTTTCTCCGATAAGTTGTGATGGGTTGTCCATACCGGTTTTTTTGAGTCAATGTTGTTCGCTCAAGTTGTAGATAGATCCAGTGATCATAGAATAGGCGTCCAGAGGGCAGTGCAAGGGTCTCTTACCGCTCTTTACCACCAATCCACACAAGAGGACTTTCAGCCTGCCATATATCCTTAGAATGCCCTCATGCCACGAAAACACTGTACATTTACAACATGCATATCTTCTGAATTCAAACCCAGGCTCTTTGGTATGGCAGTCACAATCACTAACCACTATCCCGCCTGGGTGGCATGAATGATTTAATGGCCCTTTTAATTAGTGCTGTAATGACTGTTACATTGGAATCAGGCTATATTTGAAAATAGATTTCATAAATTATATCCTACAAATATTATTTACCTTGCTTTCAAATTAGCTTTATGTAAGATGGTTTTATTTCATGTAAATCTTTGTTTTCCTTAATAAAATCTTTCTTGTATGAATTTTTAATTTATTGGGTAAGAAAAGTAAGGGATGGGAAAATTATAATTATAGAATTTTTTCTAATTTTATTTTAGTTACAATCTTATGGCTTTCTGACTAAGAAAATCCACATCATCATTTAACTTAATCTCAAGCCCTTGGTAATATAAAGTAGAATCCCAAAGTCAAGGTCATTCTGCTATAATACTGAAACACAACTAAACCTAAAATAAAAGCCTTTAAAATAACATCCATGTGTGAGACCTAGTAAAGACTTTGCAGACTTCTAAAACATCTCTGAGTTTTACAGTATGATTAATAGGACTCTAATTTCTACACATTGCAAGATTAAGTTGCAAATGTTAACTTGGTGACTACCTAAAACATCAGGCAAAATCAATCCTAGACAAAAGCTGAATGCATTTCAGCACCTCTCTACACAGCAAAGAAATCGGATCAGCGGTGATTGGATTGAACAAGTTTGCAAGAGTCATTTCCTAACATAATTTTAATTTTGCAAACTGGTAGGTAAATTGAACTATAAAATTTATTCAAACAATTTATGGCTACTTAGTAATTAATTATATTACTTATTTAAGAGGAGAACTGGTTTTAAAAATTTTTAAAATCTGCTAATGAATCTGACAAGTTTTGATCAGTGGCAAAAACGCAATTTTATTGTTTGGAGGGAAATAATTAATGCTAGATTCTTTGAATGAGCATTAGAGAGATATTTTCTAATCTCTGTTCAAATGAATTACAACTAGGCGGTAAAAGAATGAACATAATGGAATGATAATACAGACATATAAAGTATAGTACAATTTTAAAAAATATAATTTAAAATATCATTTGAAACAAATTATAAAAAAATACTCACCCGTGGATGGAAAGCAATTGCAGTTACAAAATCAATGTGCTGGAAACAGCACAAACATTCTTTTCTAGAAATATGCCATAGTCTAACAGTTTTATCCATTGACGATGAGAGGATAAAATAATTCTTTCACGGGGTAAAAAAAAAAAAAAAAAAAAAAAAAAAGATTATATTAACATAACTTTAGCAATATGGTATTTATTTTTATAAACTGTTACATCGAGATATAGAACTATAGCCTGTTTCTTTAAAATAGGCATTTGAAGGCTGTTACATCCCTTTTGCAGCTGTGATCATTAACACATCATCAATGACACACATCATTTTCTCCTCCACCTCATCTGAGACTGCAGTAATTCAAGTCAGCTTTCATTTGTGAACATTCCATGCAGCAAAACATGATAAACAAAAATTCAGTGGGGGAATACATTACACGACTTGAACCATCTGCTGCAGCTGTCGTTCCCATGGTTACAAGGCAAGGTGGGCAGAATAAAATGACACTGAAGTTCCTATTTTAAAGTAACAGATTCTAATTCTATACAAAACAGATGGAATACTGTTTTTAATACAAGGCAAGGAATTCAGAACTCTTTATAGTTTATATATCTACATTATTTTAAAATTTATTACAAGAAACACATGTATTGCAAGACTGCAAAACAAGCTGTCTATCAGTGATGAAAAAGTAGCACACTTTGATAAAGTTATGCATGACAACTTTAGGCTTATTATCATTTCATAGATAGGCAAACTCATTATCTTGCAACTAAATTTTGCTCAAGATAAAAGTTCCTTGTGACACCTTATAAAGTATTTTTCTGCCTTCATGGTATAATGGTCAGCACGCTCGGCATGTATTCGAGGGGTCCGAGTACCGGCAAGGTCACTGCACATTTTTCATTGTCTCTTCCTTCGAAATAACCTAATGTTTCTACAGTGGCGCATGAACTAAAAAAGGTGGTGGATGATAATTCTCCACCACCATGGTTTGGCGATTGGGTACCTTAATCCCCAGTTGCTTTTTAAAAGGTGGAGTATAAATGGTATTTCTACCGTCTTCTTAGCATGCCTTCATGGTGTAATAGTCAGCAGCGTATTCAAGGGGTCCAAGGTTCGAGTTCCAGCGAGGGCATTGCATATTTTCCATGTCTTCTGCTTCGAAATAACCTAATGTCTCTACAGCCTTTGTTACCCAACTTTGTCTATAGCGATATACCTTCAGAGAACCAACATATTTGCTTGTTCGTACATGGTGCAGAAAAAAAAAAGGGGGGACATTTCTATATCTTCCGTTCTACTGGGCTGATTGACAAAATTCAAATTGCGTTTTTCAAGTCTCGAAAGCACGACTTAGGATATGTATTAGATTTATATATAGCATTATTCTAACAAGGTATTTTGACACAAAACTGGACTTTTTCTGAAATGACATACCAATTTTTTTACATATTTCGATTCTACAACTCAAATTATGCTTAAATATTAAATTTTGTAAAATTTATGGAGAAATTAAAAAATTTATATTGGAGCTTTTTTTCTGTTTGCACCAAGAATAGTTCACTTGGTGAACTTTTTAATATATGGCAAACTATTTTCCTTTCCCTTTTTACACTGTGCGTGAGCGGAAGAAAAGTCACATCCGTCTTTCTTTCAAATAATGTTCTTTATATTATATTTTTAATTATAATTGTTATTATTTTAAATAATTTTTTTCTTTCTTGAATTTCATTTTAAGTGTTTAAGTTCCATGGTTTCTTTCAAAATTTTCCATGGTTCATGGTTTCTTGTTTTAAAATTTTCTATTTACTCATTTGAACTGCATAGTTTAAATAAAAGGTGCATCATTTATTTTTTTTTTTTTTTTTTTTTTCATATAGTTTTTTTTATACTATATGTTTTAGTTATTATTTTAGGTAATTTTAAAATTTTTAGACTTATTTTAATAGTTTGTGTTGCATTGTTTCTTCAGATAATTGTTTTAAAATTTTGCATTTATTCATTCAAACTGCGCATTTTAAACATATTTATTAATATAAATTTTCCAGAATTTAATTTATTTGAATTGCGTTTCTTTCAGAAGAATACTTTGTGACACACACGATGAAGCGTTTGAAATCTGCATATATTAAAAGAGAAAATACAGTAAAGCACAGTTAACACGCCTTTCAATATTCCGTTCAGAAAAGATACATAAATAAGAGAGATGTATATCTGACATTTTAATTTATGATGACTTGCATGCATTGCTTTAGACAATTTTATCATCCTATATTTAATTTCTTAAAATCTTATTCATATTTTAGTCAAATATTTTATTTTTGAAATCTCAAGAATCAAATAGCATAAAACTAGAAAAAATTTTTAAAAAATACTAAATTTTATACAAAAGATAATTTTTTCTTCTTAACGGATAGCTCTTTTTTTTCAAGCATTCTGCAAGTATATTAAAAAAGCATCCAACTTTTCAAAACATCTTGGTATTTCTGACATTCATTTTAAATAAAGTTATCGCCTTCCATTTCAGAAGGGCCCACATACGGCCGAGCAGTCAAGTCACTGAATACTGGTAGTTCACTCCGGGGTTTGAATCCCTGTGAACGGGCTGGTTGCATGGGCGTTTTCATGGTTTTTCTTATGTATGATGTGTATACGAACTGGTTTTGCTTAGAAAGTTCTTCACGAAAACTTCTCTCCTTTTAGGCAAATAGCCCTGCTTCGCCATAACTTAATAATCCAATTCAATCCATTTCATCAGTATTTAATCAGAGCCTTTACAGTCTTTAAAGGCTAGGCATTTTGAAGGCATGAGATGAAAGGAAAAAGTGGTTTCATAAAGAGGGAAACGTCTTTAGATTATATCTATATACGTCACTAGATAAATTTCAGAATCTTTAAATAATTCGACTGAGAAATTATGGGATGCACCGTTTATGATATGATATGATGTGCTATGAAGTATTTTAAATCTATATAGCCATATAGTAGAAAATCAGCCACTCTTCCCTTTAATCTGCAATGATATAGTTTTTGCCTTTCCCGTTAGTACAAACTCAATTGCTGCTATTTGCTGGTGTACATGTCCAAGTGTTTTATCTTTGAACACTGCACTTCCTTGAAGTAGACTCTCCTTTAAATTTTTGCTTCCCACCTTATTTCCTTCTACATTTGTTTTCAGTGCTGACACAAGAAAATTAAGATTTTTCGATTGTTACACTTCCATAAATTTTGTGTTATTGTCAAATATTTAAAATATCAGTTGCATCAAATGCATTTCAGCTGAAGACAGCTTTACATTTTCTACACATTTTAACTATAAATAAAGTTTAATGCAAAGTCTAAAGGATAAATATTTGAATTAAAAGATTTTTTGCTTAAATGAGAAAGAAATAAACCACTCCAGCAGCGCTTATCCTGTACCACCACGTGACCCCCAATTTTTATATCGGGTTTGAAAATCTTACTCGTATTATTTAGAGTTTTTAAGCCTAATAGTTTTTATAAGAAGATTTTTTTTTATATAATCCACAACACGAGAGAAAATTACTAATTCTTTCTAAGATGATTAATGTAAAAATTTATATATATATATACATACACTGCTGGCCACTGTAAATGCGACACCTTGAAGAAGGTAGCATGCAAATAACATGAAATTTATGACATGCATTAGCAGAGGTAAGATATGCAAATGATTAGAATTTCAACGCAGACGCACATCACACGCGCCTGTGGCGCCACTTCAAAGCACTTTTTAAGGCTTGGAGTTTTCAACGATTTCAAGTTTGGCAATTGTGTTTTTCTTGTGGTTTTAAAAAAAAAAAATTATGCCTTGTAGTAAAAACAGCGATCATCATTTGATCAAGTATCTGAGTTCGACAGAGGAAGGATAGTGGCCTACTGAGAGTGTGAATTATCTTTCAGGGAAATCGGTAGTCGTGTTGGACGAAACTAACCAACTGTAATGCGGATATGTGACCGATGGATGCAGGAGGGTAGGACAGACCGATGTGTTCGATAGCATCCAGCACTTCACGTGAGGACAGGAACACTGTGCACATGGCAGTGACGGATCGCTCAGTCACATCACAAACCATAGCACAGCCCATTCAGTCCCTAACACATCATCCAATGTCTGCGCATACCATTCGATGCCGTTTACAACAGAGTGGTCTGTCCGCAAGATGTCCATTGCTGTCTACCCTTGACGCAGAACCACAGACGTCTCCGCCGCCAATGGTGCAATGAAAGAAGGATGTGAATGGCAGAATGGAATGAAATTTCTTTACTGACGAGTCACGCTTCTGTCTGCAACACCACAATGGTCAGATTCGAGTCTGAAGACACCGTGGAGAAAGGATGCCGAAGAACTGCATTATGCACCGCCACACTGGTACTGCACTGGGTATTATGGTATGGGGCGGTATTGGATATCACTCTCGCACTCCTCTAATACGCATTGCCGGTACTTTAAACAGCCAGCGCTACAACTCCGAGGTGTTGGAGCCAGTTGACCTTCCTTACCTTCAGGGCTAGCCCATAGCCATATTTCAACAGGATAATGCACAACCACACATGGCACGCATTGTCCAAGAGTTCTTCGTCAATCACCAGATTGAACTGCTTCTTTGGCCGGCTCACTCTCCGGATCTTTTGCCGATAAAAAACATGTGGTCCATTGTTGCTGAACGACTGACCCAGATTACATCTTAAGCAGCCACACCAGATCAACTTTGGCAATGTGGAAGCTGCTTGGTCTGCTGTACCCTAAGAACAAAGAATCAGTAGCGACTACACTGGCTACTGATTCTGAAAGGAACCACACTTCACAGAAGTTCTATAAATTTAATCATTTGATACTTGGTCAACATGCTATCTACTAAATAAATTTTGTTGTGATATCTCTTGTCTTTCTTGGTGTTGCAATTTGGGTGGCCAGCAATGTATGTTTTTTAAATCTGGGACATGACCCAAAATGTCAACGTCCTATTTGCTTAAAAACATTGTGAAAATAAACATCAAACGAATTTTCTCAGTTTTAGACAATTAAATTTAAATGAAGTTAAAGTAAAGTAGCAGATGATAACACGGTAAAGGTAAAAATTTACTCTTACAAAAATTAAAAGAAAGAAATTTTAAAAAAGTTAGAAATTTGAATAATATCATCTATAATTTATTAAAAAATAGCTTTTCATATAGTATTAATAAATATTTACTATTCATCATTGAGAGGAAAAAATTCCATATAATTAATTCTCCGTAAAAATTTAGTCGAAATTTAAGGTTAAAAATAGCTGTGGCAATTCACTGTAAGAAAATTCATAAACCACATTTGGCGTTATTATTGCTCAAGAAAAAGATGCCAAATTTGAAAATGTGCAAATATGTAAATTTGTGTATAACTTAGAAAATTTTGAATAAAAAACTCTACTTTTTTGCAGGTATGCTTAGAACTACACCTTTAAAATGATGGTAAAACTTTTATAGGTTATAATTCAAAATTTTTTTCGAAAAATTCATAAAAATTATTTAAAAAGAAAAGTGAATTTTATTTGGAATGAACCTAAATTTTGAAATGTGAAAAGAAGAATAAAAAAGTTTAATAAAAAAGAGATATTAATAATTATAGTCCAAATTCAATTAACATTGAGGAGCTAAAATTTTGAGAGCTAATATTTTAAAAACTACTCGTGCAATTTTTACAAAACTTGGCAGTCTGGAATAATTTGAGTCGTAGAATCGAATTATGGGAGGGGAAAAAAAGGGTATGGTAACATATTAACAAAAAAAGGTAACATTTATTTCAGAAAAAGTCCTATTTTGTGTCAAAATGCTTACATTAGATTAATGCTATATATAAATCTAATATATATCATAAGCCATGCTCTTGAGACATGAAAAAAGCAATTTGAATTTTTGTCAATCGGCACAGTAGAATGTGAGATATATAACTGTCCTTTTTTTTTTTTTTTTTTTTTTTTTTTTTTTTTTTTTTTTTTTAGTGCAGTGTACCTAGCATTTCAATACATGGCATTCTTCTCAAAAGGTACAGATTGAACAGAAAAAAACATGGGACATTTCTACATCTCGTGTTCTACTAAACTGATTGACGAAATTTAACTTTTAAAAAATTTTACATGTCTTGAAAGCATGAATTAGGACATACATTAGATTTATATATAGCACTGTTTTAAAATAAGGTATTCTGACACAAAATCGGACATTTCTGAAAGGATATACCTATTTTTTGTATATTTTGATATTACTACTAAATTAAGTTTTTTAAAAATTGCACGAGTAGTTTTTAAAGTTACCTCTCAAAATTTTAGCATGTAAAATTCAGTGTGGTAACAGTCAAAAGACTCGTTGGGACTTCGGCGATTCCGGATTATAGATCATCAGTTTAAATCTGGTAAGATGGCATGCAGAAATTTTAAAATTAAAAATATGAAACCGTAATTTATGAAATAAAGAGCAATTATGATCTAAAGGGTATCAAAATTTACAAAAAAAGAGCTTAATATTTATTTGTTTACTTTATTAAACATTTCTTTCAACACGCGCGTGCGTAAAGCATACATTATGCATAGTCGAAATTAGAAAATTGCAACCAGAAAACTATTTGATGTGTATTTGTGATATTTATAATGACGAGTAATTTGATTTAAATCATATCAAAGACGGAGTACATCGACATGAAATACTACATTTAGTAAGGAATTATAAGCTGAATGAAATAAAAAACATCTGCTTTGAAGATAAGGATAACAACAGACCAACTTCCAGTTCATTGCGCATGGAATAAGTTGAGCGTTTCTATCATCCAAGCCCAGTTCGACTCCATATCTAACCAAGTAATGGTTGTTTTAGATGCCAAGGGTGGCAGCTGTTTCTACTAATTTCACACCCTATAAATCCCCAAACTGCTTAACAAATTTAATCATTTTATCTGAATGTCATACTGTTTACATACAATATATATATATATATATATATTGTATTCGCTTTCCTTTATGATGCTGCAATTTTAATGGCCAGCAGTGTACATAAAGGTAATAACGTTATTATTAAAAAAGCATAATTCATTTACTGTTTTTTGATCTTGTACATAAATCAGTAAAAGCAAAAGAAATAAACTTAGTAAAAACAATAAATTAGATATTAAATGACAGTTGGCCAATACACAAAACTGCCAAATGTTAAAAAATAGTTTAGGATCCTGAAAAAAATTACCTTGGACCAGGATACATCTAATAATTCAGCAGTATGGCCCTGATATCTGCAAAATGGTTTGGACAGAAATGGCCCTTTGTTATCTTCATTTTCTTCCTGTAGCAAAGGAATAAAAATGATAAAAAACATATAATAGAAAAATACACCAGAAGTCATTAAATGAAATTACTGAATACTCTGCTATTGTTTGATTCAGTATACTGCTAAAAATTAAAACTTTGCCCTCATAACTTACATTGTATAAAACAAAATTAATATAAATCCTTCCAATATAACACAATTTTCTTACAAAATTATAAAAAGCTGAGAAATTATACAATAAGTAAATTTCAATCACTAGTGTATATGAATTAATATTATATATCAATACCATATGAATCTGCTTTCTTTTGCAAATTTAAGATATTTTAAGTAAACCTTCTAATCATTGTGAGGTGCTGCTACATTTCTAAATCACTTGCATATTATTTAAGAATTAATCATGACATCTATGAATAAATGTCAAATGTGCATGAAGTACAATAATTATTTCATCATTAATGGTCCGAATGTTTAAAGCTACTGCTTCTACAGTGAAAATATAGTACAAAGTTTGAGATCTGGACTCATCTGGACTTCGGCAATTCCGAATTTAGGATTTCTCTGGTTATTAGATCATCAGTTTAAAACTTGTAAGATGACATGTAGAAATTATAAAATAAAAAATATAATAACATGATTTATGAAATAATGAAGCATTTATGATCTAAATGGTAACAAAATTTACAAAAAAGTGTAATATCTATTTGTTTACTTTATTAAACATTTCTTTCAATGTAAGTTGTTTAAGTTGCTTTTTTCTTGTGCTAATATATTCTCTTTAATTCTGTAGATGACAGAATTTATTATTCAGTTACAAAGTTTCATAGTTCAAGTCCTGTAATTGCTGTTTTGAGAATTCTGACTAACTTGTCAATCAAAATTTTCTTGTTTTCAGTAACTTCTCTGTCACTTTCTTCACTATTGGTAGCGGTATTTTCTGGATCTAGAACCATATGACAGATTTTGCCGTTCATTAATTTATTGATAATTGGGACATTGTCATCACAATGAAGAACTTCTGTTATATCATCTTCATTTATTACCGTTTCCTCACATTTCTTAAAGATATCCATCAACTGGAAAATTTGACCTTCGGTTTGCGATATCCGAAAACCTTCCAATTCGTGGCTATCATTTTCATCATCCTCAACATGAAACATGTTGGCTGGTTATAAATTATGCCAAACAGTTTTTAAAGTATCTGGAGACAGATCCTGCTATGATATTGTGATGCTCCACAAAACACATTTTACATTAAAATGTTAAAAAAAAAAAAAAAAAAAAAAAAAAAAAAAAAAAAACTTGAACGGTCTTGCCATTATTCAAGAAATTTAACATGGATTTAAAAAATTCTACTTTATATTTACATTTTCAGCATGCTCACTTCTTTGATATCTACAGGCTGAATGATTGACGTATAATTTGGAGGGAACAATAATACAGATACAATATCTTTTGCTAAAAATTTTAATGAAGTATAAGCCGAACAGTTGTCTACAATCAGGCAATTTTGGTGTCATCAGGTAAAACAAACGAAATCTCTCCAGCTTTGGGTATGAAATGATTTTCAAAACAACCACTCATTAACAATTGTACCATCTGTGTTCTTTTATTTGCTTGATATATAATAGGAAACTCTTCACTCCTTTAAATGCTCGAGGTTGTGCATTTTTTTCGATTACGAAAAGTTTACACTTATGTGTTCCTGCAGCATTTGTGTATGCCTAAATTGTTAGTCTCGGTTTGGAATCTTTGGCAAGAGTTGGAGCCTTTCGTATAGAAGTTGCTAAGGTATTTTGCAGTACACATAGCCAGTTTCATCAGCACTGTAAATTTGTTCTGAAGATAACTTTTAACTATTAATGAGTTCAATGAATTCATCTGCAAATAGTTCAGCAGCTTCAGTATGAGCTGAAGCTTTTTCACCTGAAATTCTTGATTGCCATATACCATGGCGATTTTTTAATTTGGTTAACCAACCTGTCGAATATGAGCACTCCATTTTTAAGTTAATTTCTTAGTGAAATATTTTAGCTAGAGACATTAGCATTTGGCCTGTCAATGGCACACCCTAGCTGCGATGCTGTTCGACTCATTCAGTCATCATTTTCACTTTTAGCATAACAAATAATTTTTCTGCTATTCACTGCAAGTGGGGTGTCAGAATAAATGACTAAATGTGAATTGTTATCATTTTCTGCCAAAAGCACAACAATGTTACATATATACAAAATTTCAACATTCTGAGGCTACTTGTTTTTGACTCGTGTGCACACGTACAGACATCACGAAAAATCTTTTCTGAATCCATTTTAAATACTTTTTGCAACAACCTGTTTTATAAAAAAGAGTCCTTTAGTCTGTCCTTAGGCACAGATGTCATGCAAAAACATCATTAAATTGCATTTGATAGTAGTCAAAATGGATATTTTCATTGAAATATGATACCAGATAATTTTCACAATTACAATATTTCCTTTACTTCTTACAAGGAAAAACAGAAGATATCTCAAAAGAGAACACAAAATTACTAACTGCAGCGACATTAGAAAACATTAGTGCAAACTGCAGCGACAGAACCAAAAAAGTCAAAACAAGTGAAGTGAACAAAATCTTGATTTCAGGGAAGACATTTTTCAAATTATCTCATAAATTATTTTTAGCATTTAAAGGTAGAAATAAATAATATTTACAACACTACTAAACAAAAATATGTATTATTTAACACTGGTAAGAAGTACTTATATAAATAGCTATACAACGAATAAGTGATTTTGAGTTTTTGATTCTGCTTTGGCCTTTGAGGCAAAACAATCACTACCTCCTAATCTATCAGGTTTTAACGAAAGTTTCCTGCCACTGCAAATATCGTTTGTGCAAACAGTTTAAGTTGGCGTGTTTAGTCATATTTTGTCAAACAATTTCTGGCATTTGAAAGAAAGAGACTTGCTTTAGAACACTGTGAAATTTGCAAAAAAATATTGTTATCATCTAGTAAACGGCAGTGGTGTAGTTAGGGTGGGGCAAGGAGGGACATCAAGTCCCCGGGCACAGCATCCAGAGGGCACCAAATTGATGCTAAGAAACGTTTTTCATTCTTGGCACACAGAAAGGGACACAAAATCTTCAGTTGTCCCCGAGCTCTGAAAACCTGCCTCTCGTACAAGGTGTCTAAAAAGGAACTATCACAAGATCAGATTAGAACCATCATTTACTTCCAGTTCTATCGTTAAAAGTCGGCTACAGAATGTCACCAAATCAACAGTTTTAGATACTAATGTTGTATCATATGACACAGTGAAATTTTAGTACCAAAATTTCAAAAACAAGGACTATGAGATTCAGGAAGAAGAGCACTCTGGATGGCCTAGTGGTGTTGAAGAGGCCCTCCTGCAAGAACTTGCGGAAGAAGATCAGTATGCAATCATTTGAGAGCTTGCTAAGGAGTTAGACGTTAGTGCCATGTCCATTAGTCATGCTATGCATCGCATAAACTTAACATATAAGTTCAGTTGCTGGGTGACACATGAGCTGGCTAAACAGATAAGGATATATGCGTTGGGGTGTGCACTAATCCGCTTGAATATCAAAATTCTGGGACCAAAAAAGGATGAAATTCTGGACTGGATCATTGCTTATAATGAAAAGTGGAAATGGGCCAAAAAGGGGGTTGGTCTGAGCTCGGTGAGCCTGTTGGCAACATCGCAAAGTGCAATCAGACTAACAAAAAGATAAAACTTTGCATCTGGTGTGACTGGCGTGGTATTATCCACAAAGAGCATCTGGAAAAAGGTAAAACCCTTGACAGCACGATGATAATCAGTGTTGATGTTGTTAATAACGAAAAATATTGAGCTGAGTTTCAGAGCAAAAAGGTAATGTTCCATCAAGATTATGCATGACCACATGTGTCTGCACTCACCATCTGGACTTTGTACGGACTCGAATGGGATCTTTTGCCACACCCACTGCATAGCCCCAACACTGCTCCTTCAGACTTCTACCTTTCTTCACACCTGCAACTATCTCTTGCTGGTGCTATCTTCCATTCTGCACAGGATGTCAAAAATTAGGTTGATCTGTTTTTGGGCTCAAGGCCACCAAGTTTCTCCGTGGAAGGCTTTAAAAAACTACCAAAACGTTGGCAGAAAAATCATAGATTTGGGTGGTGATTACTACCTGCATTGAAGGCACTGCTTTCAGTTTTTTTTTTTTTTTTTTTTTTCCTTATTTTATTAAGAACGTTTTTTGGTGGAAAACTTTCATTACAACCAGATATTAAGTCAACTCTAATTTCATTAAAAATGAAACAAGATTACTTTTGCAGACCCACATAATTTTTTAAAAAATAGAACATATTTTTCTTAAAATAAACTTCAAAATTTACTTTTTCAATAAAAGGAATTAATTTTTTCTTTGTTACAATAATTACTTTTAAATTAATAAACCAATTCCACACAAATGATGTTAGAAAGAAAGAATAAGCATTTATTTAAAAATTATTAAAATAAGAAATTAAAAGTACTCATAAAGCTCTGGAAGTAACAATAAGATTCAATTTCAGAAATTCTTGCTATTAGCCTCAGCAGCTGGCACACAAATTTCTTCACAGAATTGCAAAAATTCAGTTATGATGAGCTACGAAATTATTTTACTAATATATTGCGCTGCTTGAGTTTAGCAGAGTTCTACTATATAATGTTTATCTATTTTCTATTTTTACAAAACATAGCCAACAGTGATGAAGACAACTACAGGCTACATTTAACTTGCACTCTAGGAGAAGCAGAGTATATCAGCCTATTGGTTACCAAACATACAATTTCAAAGGTGAAAAAAGTGAGACTGCATATTTATGGTAAAGAGTAGTAATAAAACAGAATTTCCTTCTAGTTTAAGTCACCTCTCCATTTCAAAGATATAAAAATAAATAAATAAAAAATAAATAATAATACTAAAAAAAAAAAAAAAACATACTCCTTTGGTTGTGCCATCAAAGCAAACATCAGGATGAGAAGGAACAGGAGATACCTTACCTACGAAGGAGAAAACATGTCGACAGAAAAAATTAATTACTTCATTACCTAGAGTATATTTTACTATACAAAAGTTCAAAAAATAATTTAATAATAAATATAAAATCTTGAACCATTAGACATTACAAATTATTGGCACATACAAAGCTAGTCAAAGAATTTCATGCAAAATAAAATACTGAATAGCATTGCAGAACTATACGTAAAAGTAAAATCTAAGGCTATCAAAAACTTAGCATACACTTGTTTACAATTTATAAATTAAAAGCTCCTAACTCTCACTAACACAAGCAATAGTACAATTTTTATGTGCACAACATTTTAATGTGTTTTTATATGGAAGTTTCCCACACTGGAATACATTTGAGCTAGAAGTAAATTTTTATAGCAGTTTTCAATAAAAAGATATTAAAATATACTATTTTACAGTTGGTTGGTTGAGTGAGAACTATCTGCAGCGGCACAGAAATTGTTAATTGAAAACTTTCTAAGAAAAACTGATGTCCTGTTTCATTAATGGAAGATTAAAATTCCACGAAACCAGCCTTTTCTGGAGCTAGAAACTGAACAAGGAATTAATTACCAGTGTTCTTTGGTTTAAAATTCTAGGCAATACATGGATTTTAAAGAATGGCTTATCAGTGGTTATTTTTGGGGGGGGTGGGGGAAAGGGTACTCTAAAAGCTAAACTTCAAAAAGTATAACATGATTGCAAAAGTTCTGCACATAAGTATCTGATGCTGCATATATTTAAAGGAGGTACTAATATCTTTAAAAAAAACCTTGAAATTAATTCATGGCAGCATCTTAAATAACAACTTTGTTATATTCTACTTTAAAATGAAATTTAATAGATGGCATTTGTGGAATTAGATATATATGGGAAAGCGTCATCGAGTAGATGTAGCTCCAAGCCGGAAAGAAAGGACCTTTGCATCCTGAGTGCTACGACAGAGTGAACTGCGCAATCATTCGCAGAAGGACGTTAGTAAGAGCGTGATGACGATGACGGCATTTAAAGACATGCATATATAAAGGATGTTATTCGCTATTCATATGTAAATAATATTCATCTATTTCCTGCCACATATGTAATCACCTTGTAGTTTGTAGCAGCTATTTATGTTTCCACTACACATTCAAGTTATTCATAAGTCGGATTAGTCATTTCAAGTCCCTAGACAGCCACCTTGAAAGTAAGTTCCCATTCATCATGTTTCTTTATAGAACAAAACTTCCTACAATCATGGGGGCTCAGCCGGGATGAGCCTAGGAAGAATTATGATGAATATTACAAAAGAAAACAAGTAAGTCTTTTGAGATTATTTCCACATTGTTACTTCTAAGAATAGTGTTATACGATACTGTGAATTAAGATGACTACCTTAAATTCTATTCCTAGAATATCAAATTCTTTAAAGAATGGGCCTACTAAGTCAATTAAACTCTTACATCCAATTATGTTTGGAACTTTGGGTGACAGAAAAAAAAATAGAGCGAGATTACGTAATTTTTGTGGTTTTTCATCTGATTTTAATAATAAAGAAACAAAAAAAAAAAAAAAAAAAACCACTTAAAACTTTTACTGAAAATGATTTTATTTCTGTGTGTAATTTGTTACATATTAATTAAGAGTCAAGCCCTGATAAAAACTGTGATTTAATATTGAATAGTCTTTGTGATTTTAAGCTTCTAAAATCTGAAAGTGATGATGATGATGAAAATGACAATGATGAGTTATCTGAAAACGAAAGTGTTTCTGATTCTGATAAAAATGATGATGTTAATTCTGTTCAGTCGGAATCACCTCCCACTAATAATTCAGTGGATGAAAACATTATAATGCCTAGCAATATTTCCCTACATTTTCTTATATCTTAGAAAGTGCTTCTGAATTTAATGGCACTGATACATATCCAGTTGAGTCCTTCATTGGCGATTTAGAAGAATCTTTTAAATTATTTAAGTTATCGGAATTACAGAAAATTGTGTTTGCTAAAAAATTGCTTACTGGTTCTGCTAAAGTATTTATTCAGTCTTTGAAAGGTATATCGCAATGGGACAAATTAAAAGAAAATATTTTATCTGAATTTGGTTATAAAATAAACAGTGCACAACTTCATAATTTATTACAGGAACGACACTTAAAATCTAGTGAATCTCTTTCCGAATATTTAATTGCCATGCGTGAAATAGCCAGTTGCGGTTCTCTTGATGATTCATCAATTCTTGATTATGTAATCAATGGGATACCAGATCAGAGTAGCAACAAACTTATTTTGTATGGGTGTAAAACTATTTCTGAATTCAAAGACAAATTAAAAATTTATGAGAAAATTTGTATTCCAGATACGAAGAATAAGGTTACTCAAGTACTAACACACAAAATAAAGCACGCGCTATACCTAGTAAAAGTACAGAACCAAGGTGTTATAACTGTGGAATTATAGGTCATAAATCTAACTCATGTAACAATAAGAGTAAAGGATTTAAGTGTTTTAAATGCAATTTGTTTGGAGAGAAAGCTGCAAATTGTTCCAAAACATCTAAAAATATCCAATATGCCAAAAACGTAACATCAATAACTCGGACTTGTGAGAAAGAAATGCATAAAACCGTTAATTTGGGCAATTTGCAAATTGATGCTTTAATAGATACTTGTAGTCAAGTAATGCTAATCCGAGAAAATATACATAAGAAAATAGGTTCTCCTGAACTCAAGTCAGCAGATTTACATTTAACGGGGTTTGGTAATGGGAAAACTAAACCTATAAGAAGATTTGAAGGTGAATTTGAAATTGATGGTTCTTCATTTCGATCAAATATTTGTGTTATCGCAGAAAACGAAATGTTTTTACAAGCGATCATTTGTACTGATATTATAAGGCAGGGGGAATTAACTGTAAATGAAAAAGGAGTCGAAATTAGAAAATTGCAACCAGAAAACTATTTGATGGGCATTCGTGATATTTATAATGAGAAGGAAATTGATTTTAATCATATCAAATATGGAGTACATTGAAATGAAATACTACACTTAGAAAGGAATTATAAGCCGAATAAAATAAAAATACAGTCAAAAGTCATTCATTCGGACACCCATAATCCGGAATGATCTATAATCTGGACCTCAAAGCTACAAACTTTCTGCGCATGCATCGCGTAAGACCTTTACGGCTGAGAATATGCGTGTGCGCGTGCGCAAAATACGTTTATGAATGCACATTTAATGTATAACGGATGGTATAAGCTAAGCTAAAATTATCTAAATCAGTTAATGTTGCAGATTGCGTTGTTCCTTAATCTTCGAATTGGACCCGGCTTATTATTTTTTGCAGACTGTTAAAGCAATTTTATAAAAGTAAGCTTGAACTTTCGATTATGTCAAATAGAATTTCTGATATATATTTACTAATATGTAAAGAATCTACAAAGCGAAAGTATATTTCGAAGTTCATTAAACAAAAAATGGATAAAGGCATATCCTTTGTTTATCTAAACTTTGTTTATCTTTAACCGCGCAATGAATTGGAAGTTGATCTGTCAGCACTATCCTTATCTTCAGGGCAGATGTTTTTATTTTATTTGTCTTATAATTCCTTACTAAATGTAGTATTTCATCTCGATGTACTCCGTCTTTGATTTAAATCAAATTCCTTGTCATTATAATTCGCTTTCGATAGCGAAGAAAGTGACACAGAGGTTATTGAAAACGAAAAAATTTCGATTGACAAATTAGTCGGTATTCTCGACACAGCAATTATAGGACTTGAACAGCGGAACTTTGTAACTGAACAAGAAATTATGTCTGTTTATAGAATTAAAGAGAATGTATTATCACATAAAAAATGAAGCAACCAACTTACATTGAAAGAAATGTTTAATAAAGTAAAGAAATAAATATTAAGCTTTTTTTTTTTTGTAAATTTTGATACCCTTTAGATCATAATTGTTCTTTATTTCTTAAATTACGATTTCATATTTTTAATTTTATAATTTCTGCATGCCATCTTACCAGATTTAAACTGACGATTTATAATCTGAAAAAATCGATAATCTGGAATCGCCGAAGTCCCGACGAGTCCAGATTAACGACTTTTGACTGTATCTGCCCTGAAGATGCGAATAGTGCTGCTGACAGATCAACTTCCAGTTCATTGTGCGCCATGACACTCCCCCCCCAGAGCAGCGTGAAATTGATAAAGAGATTTCAGAGTGATTAGAGAAACAAATCATTAAACCAAGCTGTTCTGATTACGCAAGTAATATCGCAAGTAGTTCTGCAAGTATATCGCAAGTGGTTATTACGCAAGTAGTTCTGATTACGCAAGTAAGTAGGAAAAAATGTGGTTCATTTAGACTATGCCTAGACTTTCAGTGCCTGAATAAAAAAATAATTCGCAATCTCTTTCCTCTGTCATTAATTGATGATGTTATTGATGAATTACAGGCAGCAATGGTATTTATAACATTAGATTTAAAGAACAATTTTTTTCATGTTGAAGTATACGAAGAAAGTAGAAAATACACATCTTTCGTGACACAAAACAAATATGAATTTTTGAAAGTTCCGTTCCGTTTGGTCTTGCTAACAGCCCAAGTGTTTTCCAAAGATACATTTATGATATATTTCATGATCTTTTAAAGGACAGTACTGCTGTAATCTATATGGACGACATCATTATTTCTTCCGAAAATGAAGCTCAGGAAATTCAAAAATTGAAACGCGTATTACAGACTGCAACGGAATATGGACTAGAAATAAACATTTCAGAAATGTCAATTTTTGAAGCGCGAAATCGAATTTTTAGGACACAAAATTAAAGATGGGAAATTATATCCTTCTTCTTCTACAATGAAAGCAGTAATTAACTTTCCAGAATCTAACGTGTAAAAGATGTTCAAAGTTATTTGGGTTTAACTGGTTACTTCAGGAAATTTATACCTCTTTATTCATTAATTGCAAAACCGCTTAGTGATTTACTGAAGAAAGATTCTAAATTTAAATTCGAAACTAAAGAACTTTATGCTTTTAACGAATTGAAACGCATATTGACATCTGAACCTGTTTGTGTATTTATAATCCGAAAGCAGAAACCGAAATACACACTGATGCTAGTGCTGACGGTTATGGTGCGGTTCTGTTACAGAAATCCTTAATTGATAATCAGATGCATCCGCTTTATACGAGTAGGAAGACAACAGACATTGAACATAAATATTCGAGCTACTAATTAGAGGTTAAAGCAGTCGTAGAAGCTCTTAAAAAATTCAGGATGTACATATTAGGCATACCTTTTAAAATTGTGACAGATTGTAATGCATTCAAACAAACTATGAGCAAGAAAGATTTCTGTACTAAAATAGCTAGATGGACATTAAATGTTGCAAGATTATGATTACATAATTGAACACAGATTTGATACCCGTATGAGGCATGTGGATGCTTAGTCGAAATCCTGTATGTATGGTAATTCAAGAGAGTATAACATTTAAGATTGTTCGAGCTCAAGGAACTGATGAAAATATAATAGTTATAAAAGAAGTTTTGAAGTCTAAGTCGTATGGAGATTATTGTTTGTGTAATGATGTGCTTTACAAAATGGTGAATGGAACTGAAGCACAGTAGTAGTACCTGAGACAGAGTCGTAGGTAGGGTTTTCAGCGTCCAGGGACAAATGAAGATTTCGCGCCTCCTACTGCTTGCCAAGTATGGAAAACATTTAATTGTAAAATGTCATAACATCAGTTTGGCGCCCCTTGGATTCTGCGCCTGGGGACAGATGCCCCCCTCTAGCTACGCCCCTGACCTGAGATTATGCAAATTGAAGTAATAAAAGACGCACATGAACAAGGTCATTTTGCTGCCAAACGCACTGAAGAACATGTGAGACATTTTTATATCCCCAAATTGAAAGAGAAAATTGAAAAATGTATCACAAATTGTATTACTAGTATACTGGTCAACCGGAAATCTGGAAAGAAGGAAGGATTATTACATCCTTTACCTAAAGAAGATATTCCTCTAAACACTTACCACATAGACCATTTAGGACCTTTGGAGAGTTCTAACAAGAATTATAAATACATTTTCGCGGTTATTGATTCGTTTACAAAATTTGTTTGGTTACATCCAACTAAAACCACCTCTAGTAAAGAAGTAATAGCTAAACTTGAAATTCAAAATCATCATTGTTTGGAAATCCCTGCAATATAGTAGCTGACAGAGGTACTGCATTTACTTCTCAAGAATTTGCTGATTATTGTACTAAGGAAAATATTCTTCTATCCATGATTACAACAGGATTCCCAAGAGCAAATGGATAGGTAGAACGGTTGAATTCCATTATCATATCGGTCATTTCTAAGTTGGCTATAGATAACCCTACGAATTGGTATAAACACGTGACTGACATCCAGCAAATTATTAATTCGACTTTTCAGAAGAGTATCAATTTGACACCTTTCGAGCTTCTATTTGGTATGAAGATAAAGACGAATAAAGACAGGAAGATCAAAGAACTGATAGAAGCTGAAATCCAGACGGACTTAATCGAATCTAGAGAAAATCTACGTAAAGAGGCGAAAAAGCAGATTCAGAAGATTCAGGAAGAGAATCGAAAGACTTACAATCGAAGTCGAAAATTCCCTCGTAAATACAAGATCAATGATATGGCAGTTATTAAATGCACTCAACTAGGACCAGGTATAAAGCTAAAATCTAAGTTTTTAGGTCCATACAAAATCACCAAGGTGAAACCTAATGACACATACGACGTGCAGAAGGTTGGTTTTACCGAAGGACCTTTCAAGACTAGTACCTGTGCTGAATACCTGAAACCATGGACAGACGATCTTTGATGATTCCTGATTTAGACTTTTCCTGACTTGACTAATTTTTCTCGATTTGACTAATGAACTATTGTAAGAATGTAGAGTATGAAGGAAGACGTCTTCAAGAAGATGGTATCTAAGACGATGCATTCAGAAGACGTATCCAGATGATGTTTAACAAGACGTATCCAGATGATGTTTAAGAAGATGTAAATACGAAGACGAATTCAGATGAATTGTTCCAGACAACATCTAAGGAAGATGTGTTTCTGAAATACATGTATTCAGATAGACAGTTCAAGATGAACGAACACTGAAAGAGTATTGAAGATAAGCTAAAGCCGTTATTTCTGAAGATGTTAAGATGATGAGGGAAGATGGCTGAAATAAACCATTTAAGACACCTTTTCCCTCAATACTAACTAAAAATCTTTTTTTGTTGGTTTTTTAGTTTTATTTTTCAAATCCTTAGATGTAGATGGTGGTACTACGAGAATGAGAGGCCGCATTCTATCAGGATGGAACGAGCAGTTATGGAAATGCGTCATCGAGTAGATGTAGCTCCAAGCCGGAGAGAAAGGACCTTTGGATCCCGAGTGCTACGATAGAGTGAACTGCACAATCATTCGCAGAAGGACGTTAGCAAGAGCGTGACGATGATGAAGGCATTTAAAGATGTGTATATATAAAGGATGTTATTTGCTATTCATATGTAAATAATATTCATCTATTTCCTGCCACATATGTAATCACCTTGTAGTTTATAGCAGCTATTCATGTTTCCATTAAACATTTCAGCTATTCATAAGTCGGATTAGTAATTTCAAGCTGCTAGACAGCCATCTAGAAAGTAAGTTACTATTCATCATGTTTCTGGATAGAACAAAGCTTCCTACACATATATATATATATATTTAAAAATGATCACCAGTGAAATCTATGGGGAAAAGGTTGCATCTATCCATGTTCATGATAATGGTTTACATAATTTAGAAATGAATATATATATATATATATATATATATATATATATATAAATAATAAATAACATAAAGCATTCAAGAAAAGAATGAATTGCAAAAATTTCTTTAAGACCCAGCTCAAATATTCACAGACTTTGAAAATAAGTATATAAATTCTAACTGTAAATTAAGCAGTTCATTTAAACATCAGACGAATCTTTGTAAATGCCAAATAAAAAAGGTTCAATCTATTTAAAATTAAATAAAAATATTTTAAAATCCAGTTATTTAGAAAATAAACTGAAAAAATTTACCTTCTGAATTAAATTTTTGTCTCATATCGTCAAAATATTTATAAGCATCTTTCAATACCCAAATGCGAAGATCATGATCTTGACCAGCAGTAGCCTGATGAAATATACATTAAAAACAGAAAGTATGCAATATTGATTTTATTTAAGTATCGCTATAATAATTAAATGTACAAATATCCTCCCCATTACACATAAATCACATTATGCCAGTTTTATGATGAAGATAATTTTCTTACACAAAAAAATGCATCACAGACAAAACATTTTCAGATTTAAAACTGAATATAGAATTCATTAATGAAGTAATTAAATTAAATTCTTGCTTGTTTCTTGTTTAAGATATACTAGACATCCTTCCCACATATTACTTGAAATGAACCGAGTTGAAATTTTTATAAACAAAAAGTTAAATTTTATCAATTAAAGTAAAGCTGCATGTCAATTAATTAAAGTTAATCTGCATGTGGGGAAGGATATCTTCATTGAGGACTTTCTAAGGAAATCTTGCCTATTATTTATGCTATGAAGAAAATCATAAAAATCTTATGCAGTCAACCTATTTAAATCTGGATAAAAATTGGATTTTCTGGCTTTAGCCATCTGATTGGTTGGCAGTAATAAAATTGGAAAACATTTTTTAGGAAAAAATAAAAATATATAACTTTTATAATTTTAGCCACATGAATTAATTATTATTTAACATATACTGAGTTTGCTATAGAATAATGCTGCTTACTTTAATATACATTTAATTTATACAGAAAGACAACATCATGATATAATGAATGTCGCACATGTAAGACTTTTTCATATAAGAAAGGTTTTAAGCTTTACAGTACAGAATATTTAATGAATAAAAGCATATATAATATTTTCATTGAATTATCATTAAAAATAATTTAAATGAATAAATAATGTGTTTAATAGGGGATAAAACATTTAAGCTTCAAGTAATTCATAAAAATCAACGTTCCCCAAAATCTGAAGCTTAGCTTTAAACTTAATTTTGAACTATTATCTCCCAGAAATGTTTATTTTAGGATCTCAAGGAAAATCACTCTTATTTAAAAAAAAAAAAAAAAAAAAAAAAAGTCTTTCGGAAGACAGCAGCTCTATGTATGTACTACAAAGAAAAAATTAAAACAATAAATAAAATCACACAAAAAATACTGACTTTCTCAAATCTGTCAGGTTTGGTTTGGTTTATTTGATTATGGCAAAGCACATGAGGGCTTATCTGCCTAATGGAATGGTGTCCTTGTGAAAGACTTTCTAAGTAAAACTGGCTCATATCTATTTTACACATTGGGAAAACCAAAAATTGGCCCATTTTCAAAATGATGGTAAACAGTTAAGTAGTATTAAAGTGACAAAATAATTATAGTGGGTAGATTACCCTTTTCATGGGTAATGTAGTACAGTCAAAAGTCGTTAATTCGGACACCCATAATCCGGACCTCAAAGCTAAAAACTTTCTGCGCATGTGCCGCGTTGACACATGCGCATAGGCGTTTACGCGTGCGCGTAAGACCGTTACGACTGCGCGTAAGACTGTTACGACTGCGCATATGCGTGTGCACAAGTGCAGAATACGTTTTCACATGCGCGTTTTATGTATAACGGATGGTATAAGCTAAAATTATCTAATTATTTATTTCAGTTAATGTTGATGATTACGTTGTTCCTTAATCTTCAATTTGGATCCGGTTTATTATTTTTTGCAGACTGTAAGAGCAATTTTATATGAACTATTGTAAACTTGGACTTTCGATTATGTCAAATAGAATTTCCGATGCTGGAGCTCCCAAAGGATCTACAAAACGAAAGTATGTTTCGATGTCCATCAAACAAAAAGTGGAATTGCTGCAAAAAATGGATAAAGACATGAAGAAGGTGACAGAGAGGTTAGTGAAAACGAAAAAATTTCGATTGAAAAGTTAGTCGGTATTCTCGGCACAGCAATTACGGGACTTGAACGGCGGAACTTTGTAACTGAACAAGAAATTATGTCTGTTTATAGAATTAAAGAGAAATTATTATCACATAAAACGAAGCAACTTAAACAGCTTACATTGAAAGAAATGTTTAATAAAGTAAACAGATAAATATTAAGATTTTTTTTTTTGTAAAGTTTGATATTCTTTAGATCATAATTGTTCTTTATTTCATAAATTACGGTTTTATATTTTTAATTTTAGAATTTCTGCATGCCATCTTATGAGATTTAAACTGATGATCTATAATCCAGAAAAATCGATAATCTGGAATCGCTGAAGTTCCGACGAGTCCAGATTAACGACTTTTGACTGTATATAATTATCAATATAACAGTGGTCATCCATTCATTATCAGTTATCAGCACATCAAAGTTATCAGCACTTTGCAATATTAAATGATAAGTTTTAAATGAAAGAAATTAACTGGGTTATCAATTTCAAAAGATACATGCCAAGAAAGAAAAGGCCATTAATTATATAGTAAAAGGAAACCTACGTATACCTAACATACAGTCCTTCCACGGTCGTCATCCTGATGTTCAGCACAAATGACATGCAATATTTAAACCAATGTTTCTTTGTTTATGCACTGCTTTGGTGGACAGCAGGATTTTGATCAGCTCGTCATCCCTCATAATTAATTAAACATGAAACTATATCATACAGAATACTAGGGAGAATGGGCACTTAGATCCAGGCTTACAGAAACTCATACAGATTCAGGTTTACAGAAATCCAAACCACTAAATGCGATCCAAGGAGCCATAACTTCCCGGTCATCGCAGGGAAACAAAACTGCACACTGTTAGGGGTTATGAAATGCAAGTCAAGGCAGATGGCAAGCAGCCACCAACAAAGAGAATGAAGATCAGTGTTGACTAAGGGGAACTAAACTCCAAAGCACAACCTTTGATATCCAACCATGTAAGGCCTCCACAACCAAGGGGCATATAAGATACCAGTATAGTTCCTGCCGAGTCTAAACCTACCATCGAATAAATGATAGTTCTAGTCACTGAAGACTGATTATTTACCCCAGAAGTTGAGTCTGTCTAGTTACACGTCCTAGCCAGAAAGTCAGGAGTTGCTCCCCAGTTGCCCTTCCCCAAGGAGGAATTATATAATACAGGAAATTTCCTTCGCTCTAAGATCACTTGATTAATATGCCAAAAAAGGCAGAATTCCTTACTTTAAAGACAATAAGAGCTGACTGAAAAATTCTGAATTCTATTTTTCATTCCCAATATGAGACATGACAGTACTATGCTAGGTTTTGTGCAAGTTATATACTAGTATTTTTTAATCTGCAACTGAGAAGGCATTAGTGTTCGATCAGAATGCAACAAAATGCACCTAATACATTTTGTTTCAGCAGATAAGAAAGACATTTCTATGACAATATGGCAGAGATATGATTGAATGTTTTACTAAATTTGAGTACTACTATATTGAAACTCTTGAAATATTAGAATAAGCTTTTTAAAGTTGATATTATAGAAGCATAATAATGAATATAAAATGATATTATGGAAGCATAATACAGTCTAATCATGAAACTCTTGGAATGTTACAGTACGACGATAAAATGTTTAGTCATGCTTCAGTATTCCAAGATCATTACACATCACCAGAAAATACCACAATAGAAGAAACAGAATACAAAAGAAAATACCACATTTTCTCAATAAATAATGCTTTTGCTTTAAGGCAATGCCAGGCTGCATGTTGCCAATGCAGCATTCGCACTGCTGTCTGAAATCAATATGTCAGCCCTAGACTACCTCACACATAACCTAACTTAATAACAAATGACTTCTGGTATTCTTACCATTGAAAAGGCAAATAAGTATTTTAAAAATACTTATTTGCCTTTTCAATGGGAGAAAATTTTCTTCAAATGAGCAATTGAAAAATGTCACATATCTAGACAGAAATTTAAAGTCTATTTCAGATTTTCATAATCTTTATAAAATGTTGTGAAAATGTAATTCAGTATGAAGAACTGAGGTTTGGAAAAAAATACTGTCTCTAAAGTCATCTGACTCTGAATTAAGAGTTTCAAAACTTATCAGCCTAAGAAAATGTTAAATACATTGCACAGGATTTAATATTACATTATTAGTAGCAACATATTAGTACATATGATTTATCAAAAACATTTAGCCCCTCTATTATATGAAAATTGCATTATATTATTAATGATTTCATATAACTTAGGGCCATTGAATAGATCAAGAGACAAACTACTCAAGAATATGGCTCGGTTTACTTGACTATAAAAAAGAATATTATTTGAAAGAACAAATCATGCCAAATTGAGATTAGTCAGCACAGGTAATATTTTAAGTACTGAAAACAAGGAATGACTACAAACAGTGGCAGTAAAAACCAGTAAAATATTTCAGCATCCTGCAGCTTAGGGATTAATTCCAGCTATTTAGATTGCAGGATAAAACACACACAGACCATGTTATACTAAGTAGTTAGCAAAATAATGATGATCCACTGACCATCGACAACAAGTTAACTCATCATCCCCATGCTGAGAGTGTGTTATGATCTAAGATAAGTGCAAATAGTAAGCTTGTATAAAACATAGTTATACCTATATACTAGTTTTTCATGGTGAAAATACGTAATTTTTAAGCAAAAATTGGATTCTGACTTTAATTAACATTTTATAATTGTGGCATTTCCACTTTTATCAGAGGTACAAAAGTGATAAGGCAAGTTATAATCCAAATTTACCAAAAGTCGCCCACACGATGAAAATTTCATAGTCCAGATCGCACCCTAGAAAGTAAATGAGAATGTATTTCATTTGCAGAATCTAAATATATATTTAAAATAATGAGAAGAAGATTTCAGCATATATAATGATAAATTACAATCTTAAATATTAAAAGTTATGAACTGCAGTACAAAAAATTCAGATTATATCACTATAATACCAAAACCTACAGTATGTTCTCCTCCAAGTTCTTGGAGAACTCTAATAGTTTCAAATTCAAAGCTGCCTTTGCTGGAAACTTTAATTTTGACTGATGAACGCTGATCAGACAGAATTTCTTCTTCACTCCCATCGTCATCACCATGCCGAGCATGTGTAACTAAAATAAAAATGAAAACTTACACTTTGATAACGGTATATATATACACAAATAATTTTTGTAAACTTTTTAAAAGAGTATTTGTAGAGTAAGATTTTTAGAATATTATTAAATGTAGTTGTTTGCAAAAAAGAATGTTTTATCAATTCACAGAGTTTGTGGATTTTTTAAAACTACCGTAATTTCCTGAAGAAAGGCCGCATCAGCGTAAACGCTGCACTCGAGAAAAATGGCAGGAAAAAAATTAAAATTACACAGAAACGCCGCATCAGCGTAAACAGCGCAATAGATTAAATTGCGCGTGACATCGTTGTAGGCCGTATAGATGCAAAAACTCAACCTAAGTCCTGATATATGACATACCAGTTAAGAAAAAAGCATGAAATGAAACCATAACTCAAAAATAAATTAAAGGTAAGAAATGTGGAAAATATATTTACCTTCACGTATATATACTTATATTTACCCACTAAAGAAGTCCATATTTGTAATACTCAGACTATATTATAAAAAATGTTGCAACAACGAAATATTAAATTTGGATGACAAAAGGAAATTTTAAATTTTACTTATGAATTACAGCAAACTATACATCATATGAAGCCATCAAAATCTGATTCTTCACTATCTGAATTAAAAAGATTTAGTAAATCCTGATCTAAGTCTTCCAGATCGTCACATTCATCCTATTGGTTTACAGTCTCTTTATCTAAGGATATAATTTCAGCTTCTTTGAACGCTGCTATTATTGACGGTGTTTTCCTACCGATTTCCATGCACTTCCTGCCCACTTTGCAATTTCTTCACAAGATGCTCTACGCATTTTACCACTTTTGGTTTACGTATGCAATCCTTCACTCATCCAACACTCCCACCGCTTTTGGACTTCAGCAGTGAAGGATTTATTACTTGAAAGCTGAATCTAACAGTTGTAAGATTTTTGTCAAACCACCAGAAATTATTGCTTCGGTCGTAGACAATTTTTGACATCTGGTTTTCACTGACTCAAAGAAATGAGCATGCATGGAATCCATTATCAATAACCCCTTTGGTTGGAAAAAAGATCATATATGACACTGCCAAACTTTTTGTAGCCACTCATGCATGATTGTTTTGCACATCTAGCCGTTCTCGTTTGCACAAATAATTACGTCATTAGGAAAATCTCCCTTCGGAATAGTCTTTCGTTTAAAAATGATCATCGGCTTTAGCTTGTCACCATTTGCGGCACAAGCTAACACACATGTAAATGACGTTCTTTCATGCCCCGTCATAAAACACAGAAACAGTTTTTGCACCAGTTTCATCAACAGTTCTGTTTGCAGGAGAGTCGAAAGCTAACAGCATTTCATCCATATTTATTATCTGCGACCGAAGAAGTTTTTTTTTTTTTTTGTCAATAATAGCTGTCACATATTTCAGAAAAGATGACTTTTTATCCTGCCAGTCCATTGGTATTTGTTGCTCGACTGTTGTTCTAGTACGCACAGAAATATTTTTTCTTTTCATAAATCTGCTACACCTCCTTTGAAATCCTTTATGTTCATTCATTTTGCTATAAATTTTGCTTGTAAGCGAATTTTTAGTGTCGAAATTGCCATTCCCTTTCCTCGTTGTTCCTTTATCCAGTTTGCAAGGTCGTCCTCTAGATTTGGCCACCTTACAGTAGCACTTCTTTTGGCTCGTTTCTGTTGTGGCATATTTTTAAGAAGTTCTTTTTCAGTTCTCCAACGTCGAATACATCTGTTGTCCACTTCAAACTCTCGAGCTGCTGCTCGATTTCCAATTTGTTCAGCACGTGAAATTACATTAAGCTTAAAACCTGCAGTATAGCTTCTGTGCCGTTTAGGGACATTTTCTAAAATTTTCCGCTCCCTTCTTACTTAAAAACTATCCAACAATGTACATCTGTACTTGTACCCAAACTGATGGGATCTGTATCTGGCAGAATGCCAAGAAAAATCCATTCATGCTGAAGGGAAAATACGTCAGAGTTTCATTATTGCGAGGCAGGTGGAGTCGTGTCCGCCTTTGAAAAAAATTTCAGAATTTACGATGGAAAAGGCAGGGGTGGGGAGAGGATGGGTCCTGGAAAGATTCATCGAATGGCAGAGGAAGAGAGACTATTGGAAACTGATGAGAATGTTGATTTGAAAGGGGGAAGAATGTTATTGTTCTGAGATCTCGTTTAGGGTGAATAAGGCACGTAGGTCCGTTCAAGGGAAAAGAATGGAAACAAAATAACGTTCGCAAAAAAGCAACTGAGTGGTCTTTTGTATGGGAAAACAGCACCAGTCTATGCACAATGACATGGCCATCCAAACTATAAGTCATTGAAACAATGAACGGTGACATCATAGGAAATATTTTTTATTGCATCTAAGCACCACATAGGTAGAAACGCCGCACCCGCTGAAAATTTAAGTTTTAAACACGTAAACACCGCAGCGTTTCTTCCGGAAATTACGGTAAGTAAATTTTTCTTAAAAAATGAATAAAACTTCACACCAGAGATAAAAGTTTATAACCTGATCTAAAGACAAAATGACATTGAAGTGGTTAATTACACTTTTTATCTTTTTATGCAGCAGGTAATAAAATGAAATAAATCACAATTTTAACACATGGGCTTAGAAGGCACTTTGAACAAGCAAATGCAGCTACTTTAAATTAATCAGATGAATTAGCTTATTTCCAAGTAGACAAGCAATTTATGTCCTCGCAGCATTCTCACAGAAACAAGCCCAGTGTGTGTATGTCATGGAGCAGCAGCTCAAAGCTCAAACACCACTATGCTTGAATATCTCAATTTTGCATGACCGCTGCTTAGACATTTGATACAACCTGTCTCCAATCATCTACCAAGAACCTGTGGCATCCATGCCAAAGCAAGTTGCAGCTGTACTGCAGGCCAAAGGTTGCACAATGCATTATTAAGTAGGTGGTCATAATGTTTTGGCACTTGTATACATACACAGGCTAAGCCAGATGAATCTGACAATTTTGGTACTAAGATCACACAATAAAATGTATGCCAAATATTTAATTTTACAAAGTTTTTTCTGTTTTTTTTTTTTTTTTAAATATCCACCATGGAAGTTGATGATTTTGTCAGAAGTTGTTAATATTACAGATCTTGAAAGGTAGGTCGTAGTAAGGCAGGGCAACATCTCATACTAGAAAAGAATTGATGATAATGATACAGTAAATGTTTTCCTATGCATCTTTTGGAGAAGAAGACATTACATTACTAGCATGTTCTCCAAAATTATCATTATATGACTCCTTTTCCTGGTATTACCTGAAGTTTCATGTGTACATCAATAAACTCAAGAACACTGACAATCTGATGATAATACTACAAGACAATATTATAGATATACCAGTCAAGAAAAATGTAAGTTATAAGGCCAAACAGCATTTGAAAAATATGTTGTTTAAAAAAGAGGCTAAAGACAGAGCTTATAATTTTTACAGTCAAAAGGACTCGTCGGGACTCGTCGTTAATCCGGACTCGTCGGGACTTCGGCGATTCCGGATTATCAATTTTTCCGGATTATAGATCATCAGTTTAAACCTCGTAAGATGGCATGCAGAAATTCTAAAATAAAAAATATGAAACCGTAATTTATGAAATAAAGAACAATTATGATCTAAAGGGTATCAAAATTGCAAAAGAAGAAAAGCTTAATATTATTTGTTTACTTTATTAAACATTTCTTCAATGTAAGTTGTTAAGTTTGCTTTGTTTCATGTGATAATACTTTCTCTTTAATTTTATTAAACAGACATAATTTCTTGTTCAGTTACAAAGTTCCGTTGTTCAAGTCCTATAATTGCTGTGTCGAGAACACCGACTAATTTGTCAATCGAAATTTTTTCGTTTTCACTAACCTCTGTCACTTTGTCACTCTGTCACCTTGTCGCTATCGGAAGCGAATTATAATGACGAGGAACTTGTTTTAAATCATATCAAAGACGGAGCACATCGAGATGAAATACTAATTTGGTAAGGAATTATAAGCCAAATAAAATAAAAACATCTGCCCTGAAGATGAGGATAGTCGTGACAGATCAACTTCCAATTCATTACGCGCCCGCTGCGGCGTTTCCCGCGCCGAGCAGCGTGAAATTGATAAACAGATTTGGATTTCAAAACATACTTTCGCTTTAGATCCTTTACATATTAACAAAATATATATCGGAAATTCTATTTGATATAATCGAAAGTTTAAGCTTACTTTTATAAAATTGCTCTTACCGTCTGCAAAAAATAATAAGCCGGATCCAATTCGAAAATTAAAGAAACACGCAATCATCACACATTAACTGAAATAGATAATTAGATAATTTTAGCTTACACGTCCATTATACATAAAACGCGCACGCGAAAACGTATTCTGCACTTGCGCACACTCATATGCGCAGTCGTAAAATGTCTACCGCGCACGCGTAAACGCCTATGCGCATGTGTCAACGCGGCGCATGCGCAGAAAGTTTTTAGTTTTGAGGTCCGGATTATAGATCATTCCAAATTATGGGTGTCCGAATTAACGACTTTTGACTGTATAAGCAATAACTGTATATTCAGCCTTACATGGCATTTTATTAACCTAATGTTTTAGATGAATAAATAAATATTTGAATTTCTTGGTGACAGTTTCAAACTCAAAACCATCAGGTTCCTATGTACATCATTTACATATTTTAATTATTCAACAGTTAGAATTTTAAGATATACCATGTATTTGAACATATAATGCTTACATTCAATAAAAAAATAAAATCAAAATTTACATGTGCATGTTAAACACAGGTTATAAAAAGGATACATTTAAAAGTAAAGAAAAGATAAGTGTACAAAAATTAGATTTCACCACATACCTAAATGATGCTTATTTAAAAGAAATTACATACCTTATGAACTTAACCATTTTCATTATTGAATAATATGAAAAGTTTGTCATATTTATCTTCCAATATATTTTCAGGCACAATAC